AGTTGAACATGCCGGCTAGCTCATCCACGTCTTCCGCAGAATATTTTAAAACAGTAGATTCCAGAAGATCTTCTTTGAATTTCTGAATGTCAATTTTTTTTATGTTACGAACTGGAACTGTTTTCTTTTCAGGTACTGGTCTATCAAAATTAGATAAAACATCACCATGAAATGATCAGACATTTCCCGCAAGTACTTACAACTAACATGTGCCCAAATGTAGAAAAGTCACCTGTAGTTTTAAGAACCCAACATGCAAGTCCTGTTTACATATACATGCCACCCCTCCACCTCTTCTGTTCATCCTTGGTACCTCATGCATCTTGTACGCAGTTGGTGTCATTTCAGAACATTTAGCTTCATCCCCACTCACTGACAACCATGTTCCTGTAAGAAAAAGAATGTCAATATCAATCGAGAATGTAATCACCAATTTCAATTGTCTTGTTTTTGACTGACTGGGCATTCCATAAGCACACTTTAACATTGTTAGTGTTTGTCTTAGTTGAGTCAAAGATCAGATTCTCAACATTGCATTGAGATTTGCATTGTTTCACTGGGTTGCTACTATACACTCCAGTCCGAATCTTTATTGGTCTTTGTTTTTTTACAGCCACCTCGATGCCCTCTCCTCACAGGCTTTGTATTACTTATACATGTACCCAGTTCTCTGATGTGATGAAATAACTCAGGGTCGAGCCATTGTCTTTTTGATTGGAGCTTGTGAATACACAGAAGCTGGTCTCTGCTGTAGGTTAGCTGGCTTACGTCCATTATCAAACAGCTGGAGAGCCGGCTTGGCTCACTGATTGGTGAACAATGGAATGTCACTGTCTTGATATCAGAAACTATGCAAAGTTCCAATATTATTACGGTCAAAATCAGAATTTTTCTGTAACAGAGGTATTCGTACACGTACACTGTATGTAGATTCAATGATGACGAACACTTGTGTGTGGTTTCAGGGATTTATTCGGCGCTGGTTACGTTGGATAAGGAGATCCCCAGTTGGCAGAATTATAACAAAACGCCCTGAATAATAAAATATCCATCAATTAATACATGTCTCCTGTCATAAAATACGTATCATGTTATGCATTCAATATGGTTACAACTATACTATTAATACATCTGATAACTGTCAATCATCCAGATTTAAGTAAAGACATGTACTCTGATTATTACTCACATATATAACAATTATAATTACTAATATTTACAATCACATTCTGAAAACAATACCTCACCTCGTCTCAGGGACGCAGGCAGAATAGTCCAACAGGTACTAAAACATCTGATTCTTAGTGAACCTAAATAAACAAAATATTACCTAAGTATACTGCTAGTATATACAGATATACATCATAAATGGCATTAGCGAACACATAAATAGTTATTTACCCTAATACATACATAAATATGCATATAGAAACTAAACCTTATAATAAACATGCATGATACACATTACTGTATCATGCCAATCATAAAATAGCTAATACATATACTTATACATACTACATGTGCATGATACAAATTAAAGCATCATGATGGTATACTAGTGTACTGGTAACACAATACATCATATATTTGTCTAAAATACTAAGCATGCATATATTTATAGACAAACACCTTACATACACTAAATATGATAAAACACTATTCCTTAAAACATGTAATCTAATACACTAAATCCTAATAGCCCTACTATACATGTAATACTAAAAGATCTAACTTAACTTACCCCATATGTGTGCTGGTGCTGTGCAGGTATTGCAAGTCTCAAGGAGAAAATGTATACTGCCACAAATGAAGGCAGTAGAAGGCTTTAAAATATGACGAGAAGCTGAAACCTTTGAAACAATAGGAACCTTGACAACAGGCCAATGCAGAGATTGAACCTGACACAGATCACTTAACCTGTAACAATAGACCCCAAGCTAGCTTACCAGTGAGTTAGTTAAACAGTGCAAGTGTTAGTGTTAACACAGGCCAGTTTAGTAATGATAAAGTTTTATACCTAAGTTTAAAATAATGAAGTTTAACACATTAAAATGACATTTATTTACACACTGTTACATTCTCCTCTCCCAAGGAAAATATCGTCTCGATATTTACAGTCAGTCCGATGGAGCCAGTCACAAGATCTAGCATGGCTCTGTATGCATCTTTCGGCAGGTTCTGCAGGAGTCCATCTTCTGCCAAGTTCTTCAAGAAAATAGCTCGCTGCTGCCAGTCATTTCTTGCTGATGTTGTTGGAACTTGACTCATGCAATACTCTCCGCTGGTCTGCCAAGATGGAGGCTGATGTCGTCTTCCCGAACACGTCTAGGCGGTGGAGTTGGTAGAACTCTCCTGGGACGTCGACGTGGGGCGATGTTCTGTTCTCTTGTTCTTCATGTTCCTCAATCACTGGTTGGGAACTTTCATCAGCTAATAGGCTCACCTCCTGTTCCCCCCTCCTGAACCATGGTATCAGTGGAATCTTCTGATTCTTCTGGTCCATTGGGAACTTCATCTTCAGACGGTGGATCAGCATCTGTAGGAACACTGGTCACTGAAGATTCTTTGGTGAGTTCAACAGGCTGCACCTTGACCTCAATAGAATAGATCTCGGACTCGCTGTCAGGCTCAGATAAGGTCGACTCATCAGGTTGCTCAGCAGTCGGATCTTCCTTCTGTTTCTTCTCTGGTGGTGGAACAGGTGGAACATCATTTGGCTTGTCCGGTGTGGGTAGTAGTGAGCCAACTGGCAGTAACAGATTCCTATGTAGTGTCCTCGAACGGCCTTGTCCATCTTCCCTCTGAACACAGTACACAGGGATTTCAGGATTGAGTTGATCCAGCACTACATAGACATCTTCCTCCCATTTATCTGCCAGTTTGTGCTTCCCATCAAAAGCAAGCTGCTTTACTAAAACCCGGTCGCCAACACTGAGAGTAGCTCCTCTAATCTTGATGTCATACGCTTTACTTTGTCTGCTTCTTGCCTTGTCAGCTGCTTCTGTTGCCAACTTGTAGGAATCTGCCAGACGTTGTCGCAACTCCTTGATGTAAGCTGTTTTGGATTGCTGTCCAGCTGGGGCACCTATTCCAAAAGCTACGTCAACAGGTAAGCGGGGTTGTCTTCCAAACATCAAGAAAAAGGGACTCTCCTTGGTGGAATCATGTCTAGTGGCGTTGTAGGCGTGGACCAATGGTGCTACATGGGACTTCCAGTTGGTCTTCTGGGATGACTTCAGGGAACCGAGCATGCTGATAAGGGTGCGATTAAACCGTTCACACATCCCGTTCCCTTGGGGGTGATATGGTGTAGTTCTACTTTTTTCAATCCCTGTTAACTTGCACAATTCCTTGATCAGGTTGCTTTCAAAGTTGGCTCCTTGATCTGAGTGTAACCTGAGAGGAAAACCATAGTTGACGAAGAAATTGTTGAATAGGACTTCTGGGGTGGTCTTAGCAGTCATGTTCCTTGTTGGGTAGGCCTGGGCATATCTCGTGAAGTGGTCCGTCAGAACAAGAATATGCTGGTATCCCCCTCTCGACATCTCCAAGGTCAGGAAGTCGATGCACACAAGCTCAAGCGGCTGGTAAGTTGCGATGGATTCTAGTGGGGCTTTGCCTTCTGTTGTTGTTCTTCGGAGACATCTGTCACAGTTCTTTATCCACTTGTCCACATCTTTAGCCATCCCTGGCCAGTGGAATCTTTCCCTGCAGAGTGTAAGCGTCCTGTCTCTACCGAGATGGCCAATATCGTCATGAAGTCCACTGAGGGCTCTTTCGATGAAATCCTTTGGTAGAACCAGCTGCTTCTTCTCTTCACCATCAGATGTTGTTATCCGGTAGAGCACTCCTTGTTGTAGCTGCAGGTGTTGTAATTCTCTGGCCAGTGATGGCTAAAGATGTGGACAAGTGGATAAAGAACTGTGAGGGGGATACCAGCATAAATGGGAGATGGGCTGCATGTATGCAGGTTACTAAACTTGAAATATAGTTTAGGTTTACATATTAAATGTTGAATGTTTAAGTTACATTTAATTTATGTTTAATGGATAGATGTTAGAAACTATCTTGGTGCAATAATAAATGAGTTAGTAACCTAATACCCAAACTTACCAGGATACCTCGACCAAAATGACAAATAATTCCAACCAATGACACACAAGACCAAAGGCAGATAGGACAGGAATGCTAAGTGGTGCAGTGTTAACCCAATACTTACATACCTGATTTAAACTAAAGTAGGGCTTAACTAAACGTACTAACTAAGTAGCTAAACAACTTATGCAATCTGATTTATGGATAAATTAAGACACTTAGTGTAACTCGCCAATATACTCTTTTACGGTATATGCCAAGTTAAATAACTAAACCGTAGCGACTTAACTAACTAAATAGTTGAACACTCAAGATCTAATTCAGAAACTAACTTAACTAAACAGTTTACAGATCTAAACTAACTTAACTAAACAGTTTACAGATCGAAACTAACTTGCTAGCTAGCAAACTAAACTAACTAAACTCCGCTATCACACATAACAGGATGTAACATATCGTGTTGCAAACTGGCACAGTCTTCCATACTGATGACACAGTTATACTGATGTAGCACACATACAAATCTGTGACACAGCACAGCTAATATCAGAAATGGTACCATAATATAGTCCATGGATTCACACATGATGAGATGTCGAATTTATCAGCTGGCAGGGGGGATCCAACAGTCTGTATGCATGGTTATCACATGGTCACATGAGTTACATAGATACAAAGTGTCACTTTTCACTTGAGGCAATTATCAATGGGGTATATAGGCTAGCACAATTACCTATAGCATGATGAGACGATCACACACACTTATGGGGTTCCAACGTAGGGTGATGTTACTCCCGGGATGTCCTCATACCAGTCCGAAATCCAATCCCACCAGGGATGCCATTGTAACAGAGGTATTCGTACACGTACACTGTATGTAGATTCAATGATGACGAACACTTGTGTGTGGTTTCAGGGATTTATTCGGCGCTGGTTACGTTGGATAAGGAGATCCCCAGTTGGCAGAATTATAACAAAACGCCCTGAATAATAAAATATCCATCAATTAATACATGTCTCCTGTCATAAAATACGTATCATGTTATGCATTCAATATGGTTACAACTATACTATTAATACATCTGATAACTGTCAATCATCCAGATTTAAGTAAAGACATGTACTCTGATTATTACTCACATATATAACAATTATAATTACTAATATTTACAATCACATTCTGAAAACAATACCTCACCTCGTCTCAGGGACGCAGGCAGAATAGTCCAACAGGTACTAAAACATCTGATTCTTAGTGAACCTAAATAAACAAAATATTACCTAAGTATACTGCTAGTATATACAGATATACATCATAAATGGCATTAGCGAACACATAAATAGTTATTTACCCTAATACATACATAAATATGCATATAGAAACTAAACCTTATAATAAACATGCATGATACACATTACTGTATCATGCCAATCATAAAATAGCTAATACATATACTTATACATACTACATGTGCATGATACAAATTAAAGCATCATGATAGTATACTAGTGTACTGGTACACAATACATCATATATTTGTCTAAAATACTAAGCATGCATATATTTATAGACAAACACCTTACATACACTAAATATGATAAAACACTATTCCTTAAAACATGTAATCTAATACACTAAATCCTAATAGCCCTACTATACATGTAATACTAAAAGATCTAACTTAACTTACCCCATAATGTGCTGGTGCTGTGCAGGTATTGCAAGTCTCAAGGAGAAAATGTATACTGCCACAAATGAAAGGCAGTAGAAGGCTTTAAATATGACGAGAAGCTGAAACCTTTGAAACAATAGGAACCTTGACAACAGGCCAATGCAGAGATTGAACCTGACACAGATCACTTAACCTTAACAATAGACCCCAAGCTAGCTTACCAGTGAGTTAGTTAAACAGTGCAAGTGTTAGTGTTAACACAGGCCAGTTTAGTAATGATAAAGTTTTATACCTAAGTTTAAAATAATGAAGTTTAACACATTAAAATGACATTTATTTACACACTGTTACATTTCAACAACTATTTTCTTCTTCAAATGGAGAAATGTGTTCTTGGTAGCATTATTCATGAACTGTTCCGAACTAGAACTCTTTTCTTTTCAGGTACTGGTCTGTCAAAATTATAAAACATCACCATGAAATGATCAGACATTACAACTGACATGTGCTCAAATGTAGAAAAATCACCTGGGAGTTTTAAGAATCCAACATCCAGTTCTCTGATTTAGAAAAGTTCCGAAAAGATCAGGTTTGATTCAATATGTTTGTAGGCAACATTTACAAACGACGGTGGATAGTCCGGTTTTCGGGCATAGGCCAACAGACAACATCGCAGCATAAAATGTTCCAAAAGAGAGGAAAGTCTCTAGTAACGCGGGTGACTACCTCCGGCGTTGATGCATGCCTCGACAAGACGTCGCACAGAGTGGACAAGTCGTCTGATCACGTGATCTGATACCTACGGAGGAGGTAAACACTGTCGGATGCGACGTCCCGGACGGTCCCACAGGTGCTCTACAGGAAACATGTCGACACTTGGTCTGCCGCTCCTAGGCCTGTCTGCTGTCCTGCCAGTTTGTCTTAACCATGTGACCAAACTTCCAATTGTTTGTTTTGTGCAGCCCATAATGTAAGTGATGACAGAGAACAGTCCAGCTCATGTTTTATATACAGATTGCATACGGGTACTTTTCTGCACGTGCGGGAAGATTTGGCGCTCAAAGTGATATTTACTGCTTAGGACATGCAGCACGTGCTATTCCTTCACATACAATGTTAATGTGTGTTTGGGAGATGTACTCCCAACCATAATTCACGTATATGGCCACTTAGACCAAAATTATAATAATTTATATTTTGGGGGAGGTTTCTTTTGCACGTGAGTGTACATGTAAGAACAACAAAAAGTAATAAGATGGAGGCTAAACAAAGGAAGCCAACAGTTAACTGGCGTTGATGAATGATTGGGAAAGGACAAATGGAAGCCAGCATCTACGGTACAGGAGACAAGATTGGAGTTTTGTTCCCTGACGAGTCTAGATTTCATCTGGACAGTTCAGATGGCAGGTCAAGGGTGTACAGACGGCGAGGTGAACGGTATGCGGACGCTTGCGTTGTTCAACGTCGACAGTTTTATGGTGGAAGCGTTGTGGTATTGGGGAAATCACATCTCATGGTCGGACACAACTTGTCATTGTCAATGACAATCTAAAATTCACGAACAGAACATAATTCCCTGGCCAACTTTTTCACTGGACATGTCCCCTGGCGTGCTAAGCACGCTTGGGATGAAGTGGAGCGACGTTTACGTCAAGCCCAAAATCAGCCATTGACGCTACCTGAAATGGGTGAGTGAGTGAGTTTAGTTTTACGCCACACTCAGCAATATTCCAGCTATACGGCGACGGTCTGTAAATAATCGAGTCTGGACCTGACAATCCAGTGATTAACAGTAGGAGCATCGATCTACGCAGTTGGGAGCTGAATTGGGACAAGCGTTGGTTCAGACATGGAACAACATTCCCCAAGCTTTCTCCAATTGCTTAGTGCCGTCTATGCGTCGTCGTTGTCAAGCCTGCATCAACGCCAATGGGGAACACACACGATACTCAATTTGTGAACTGACTTTTTGACACCACATCTCTTCAAGGGCGTGCAGATGCCTTGTGTCAAATCATACTGATTTCGATATTATCCTGTGTTACGGTTTAGAAATTACTGTGATAAAAGGCTTGTGAGTCCCCTTTAAACCAGCAAATAAAACAAACGAGTCTATAATATTCAATTATATATTGAACAAAGGGTAAACAAGGTTACAGTGAATGACAGTACAGATTCTTAATGCAAAACGATTGGGTCACAAATCTAAAATATTAAAGGTCACGTGCAACGTAAAACACAACTTTGCAGATTCTGATACCTTTCGGTATGGACTTACCGAAACAAATCATCAAATATGCAAATTCAATTTATAAAGTTGAAAAATAACGCGATGAAAAAACCCGTGCGAAATCGGAGTTCAAACGATTCACTAATTGTCCCCCAGCGCATGGGTGAAAAGTGGTTTCAACAGCTGGGCTGCGCTCATAGCACATGCGCAGTGAAATAGGTTCGCGCAGCTTGTAAGCTGGTTGTCCGGTGAATATTCGGTGAAGGCTTTGGTGTGAGCTATTTTTCTAATGTTTTGTTAATATTTCACAGGCGCGAGATTTTTATATGTTATGACAGTAGATTACCAATTTAACTGTTTATATAATTTCATTTGTCTATTTCACCACACGTTCTTCTTACCGAGTCACTTTCTCAGTTCGATACTTAAAAGCAATGTCATTATTTAGCGTTAACTGTGATATAGACATGTCGTTGTCACAGACTCAATGTCTGTTTTATTGACACCTATGTGTCTGCCTGCCTGTCTGCTAATGACAATATTCAATACACAACTTCGATCACTGACCACATGCAATTTGAACTTAACACCTATCAGGCTATACACGATAAACAAAACGCATTGATTTACGGCCCGAGTTCGGTCTCTGTCACATCATGTAATTACACAGACAGGCAGGTGTGATACTTGTACACATGACATGTTATGATGTCTGTTGATTGCAAAATGTTATACACAAAAAATGAGCATGTATTTACAAAACCCAACATCTCTATATATACACACACAATGAGCCGTGAGGGCATTCCTATCTTACATTTAAACTATAATTCTTAGATCTTTCAGCGCAACGTCAATATAGAGACGGAATCCAGCTAGAACGTGCCGGATATGACGTCAATATACGGGTAGAACCTTCATGTGGTAAGCTGGTTCCCGGCTCCTTTTGCGCGCGCTAACTTGCGTATGTTGCGATATGCGAGACGGGGCCCAGCTTAAAACCTTCATGTGGCAACCTCTCATCGTAAGCTGGGCCCCGTCTCGCATATCGCAATATACGAGCCGGTACAGGCCAAAGAGACGATGGCTGTAGATGCCTACGGAAAAACAAACACTGACAATGTTATGTCATTTTCCACTGGTTGCTGTTTTTAGCCGGCCGCGCTGTCCTTCATCTGAAGACGTCGAAAACATATTTTGTATGTTTTGAAAAATCGCTGTAAAGGTGGCGAGCGCAAAGTGAGCCGGGAACCAGCTTACCTCCTAGCTTGGCGCAAGTTGGCGTGCGCAAAGAAAGCCGGGAACCAGCTTATGGGATTGGATACCAGTCTGTATTTATAAATTGTAAATGGATTTTTAAGAAAAAACGAATTTCTGTTAAAATAGAAGGAATATGTAACTCAAAAAAATTGTAAATACAATCAGGGTATCAACAAGAGTGCAATTTACACAACTGTCAATCCAACAAATGGAATCCTGGTGTTTGAATATTTACAATAAGCATGTTAGTTTTTTACGCTCAGGCATTTCTTGATTTACAATGTACCCCAAGATTTAAAGTTAGCCTGTTACGCAGATCATGACCCATAATTGTAAATGTGTTTATGCAACTGATGCGGCAATCATTTGCACGTAATTGCTCCATTTTATAGAGCTTGGATATAAGTCTCAAATAGAGGGAAAATATGTGTTGACCAGTATAATACCACATTATAACAAAACATTACCTCACAATATTAATTTAACCGAGTTGTTTTAATGTAAGTGGTGGCTTGCATCACTGAGACATTCCCACCTACACAAGTAGTAATACTTTAGCCTGACTCGCCGTCGCGTGATACTTATAAGTTGTTCAAAACTGTTCAGCTCACTCACTGAACCAATTCCGGTCACCAATTAGAAAAACAAAACAAAATATATTTGAACATTTCATAAGAATCAACGTTATTATCCTGAATACAGATATTAAATTGGAAAGCAACCAACTAGCAAGTCGTCCTCGCGACAATTACGGGGGTAAACAACATATTTCAAGCCAGTTAATATCCTTCACATTACGATTCCGTTTTATTTACCGTACAGGTTTTAATAGAAAGTGCCACCTAGGCTTTGTTGACAACGAGGCTGTGGCGTCCGCTCAAGGAAGTGAGCGAAGCTTTGCGTGTACCGGCTTGGAAATCGGCTTCAATCCAGCAGAAGTACACGATGAAGACCCAAATCTTTCATTTGTTTTTGCTATCCATATTTGTTTCTGTGTTGTGCAAAGTGAATCAGGACACTATAAATGCAGGGATAGTGAATAGCAAGGTTGAAAGGAAGATAGATATCGCAAGCCACTTAGTAAAAATTGTTGCCACCGTCACCATAGAAAATAAGGGATCATCGTCCGTGTCATCGTTTGTATATGCAGTGGATTCAAGTTTGAAGAGCAAATTATCGTTTATTGGTGCTGTGGTAAGTTTTTGCATTGACAATGAAATAGTTTCCTTGTTAACGTGACCCAAAACAGTGGGAGTGGCCTAGTTTGCATCCTCCACGTCACGGCTTTCTACTGGCTAGCGAGTTTTGAGTCCTTAGGCTTATCACAAACCTGATAGATTAAATGCAATCAAAATATCTTTCTCTCAATGTTTGATATTTAATTTACATCAACAATCTTGCTGCTATCCCAGTTACGGAGTGAATTAATCGAAAATGTCGCAATTTGCCATATGCATACTTCTATGTTTTGGGCAAGAGTCGAAGTGCAATACCTCCATGGTGAAAATATGAATTGAACAATGTTGTTTCAGACTTTCTCTAAACTAAAAATAATCGTACTAGGAAAGATTACTGCCCGTAACCCCCGTTTTACTATCATTCTATGCCTAAGATTTATAGTAAGAATAGATGGTTTTTATAGAAAGCCTATCCTAACCCTAAACCCAATATAATGCTAAACCTAAACCCTAAGTAACCCCTTGAAATAATCATTATAATTAGAATACTTTTTCAAGCGGGGGTTACGGGCAGAACTCTTACCCATCAGTTTTGCAGATGAATACTGAAAGTCACTTTGATTTAAAGTAAATCCAGTTCATGATCATGTTAGCCTAGCTTCTTCCTCAGCGTTCAACCAGGGTGAGAGTACAATTCAGATCAGTGTTACACACTTCAGAAGAAGGCTGTGCATAAAGCAATGGTAGAGTGAATCCTAAGACATTAATCACTGGATTGTCTGGTCCAGACTTGATTATTTACGGTCTGCACCATATAGCTGGAATATTACCGAGTGCAACATTACACAAACAACTAACCCAGGACATTATTCTCCTTCCTGGTATTCATATCCCTGTAGGGACTATGCCTGACTTTTGTAACAGTTTTCCTTCTTTCAATACTAGTCTGGAGTACATGTGTAAACATTATTTCACATGTTCTTTGACTTTGTAGCTAGTCATACTTAAATAAAACTAAAATGTACACTTTGTAAATTCTGCAAGTTTTATTCATTTGTAACTTGTAGCAAAATTGAATCATATGAACTGGTTGAGAATTTTCCCCTCAAATGATACCAGTGAATGGAGACTCCTATTGATGGATTATTACTTTGTCCATGGCACAATACTCACTACTCAAAGTTTACTGAGGATCAAGTTATAATTATATCAAAAAGTCGTCAATCATAAAGATCTAGATATCCTGATAGACAATGATTAGGCTACCTCTGTACATACTGTAGGGCCTCAGTTGAATGATTATCGGACAGAGGCATGCAGTGATACACATTGTGCATAAGGTACAGTCACCCCTTGCAATAACGCTCTTCGCGATACCGCGGATTCGGTTAAACCACAGGGTAATCCGTGGCTCCCATAAAAAAGTTGCCCAGTGATCACACATATTCACGTCATCGAAAATAGCACATCAACAAATTGAACTGTTGAGCTCTGGTTAATCACATTGTAAACTAGAGAAATTCAGTGCGGATTGCAATTAACAGTGTTTATCGTACATATCCATGGTTTTTCAGATGCTAAAACATGCAGGGTTTTTTCAATAATAATAGATGAACAGCGAAACATCGTAACAACTTTATCATAAAGACATGCCATCAGCCGAGTACTTACAACGTTTGCTGTGATGCAACACACAGCGTAATTGCGCTGGTAAACACCGCCATCCGAGAATGTATGGTGTCAGAAAACACATTTTAGTTGATTAAATTCAATCCCATTTTCATTCATTAAAACTGTTTACAATAACAACGGAGAAACCGTGAGTGAAATGACATTACCTCATTCCATACAACATCCGCTTACCACATTCGTGAGGGTCCGGCTTCGACCATTCGTGGCTACTCCACCGCTATTTCCACTTTTCACACCCCTGTCGATGGTGCTCTTCTGGGGCAGCACCCTCTCATGCAGTGCTTTTTAGCTGACATGGATCGGGTTCAACCTGCTGTCGGGCGAACCAGCCCACCTTGGGATTTGTCAATTGTGCTAGATTGGCTGTCCGGTCCTACGTTCTCATGTCTTTCGGCTATTTCCATTCAGTTGTTAACTTGGAAGGCTGTATTTCTGGTGGCGGTAACATCTGGGCGTAGGGTCAGCGACTTACATGCTATGTCGGCAGACCCGGCGCTGACTGTGTTCCATCCAGATCGTGTCAGTATTCGCCTCCCGGACACTTACTGCCCGAAGGTCGATCACGCTTTCCATGTGACAGCTCCTATCGAACTTCCTACTCTTACCCAGCCTTCCACATCGGGGACCTCTCCAACGAGCACTCACCCGTTGGATGTCCAAAAGACTCTTAAGGTCTATATCAAACGAACACAACGGATCCGTACAGGTACCCATCTGTTACGGTGGCGGGAAGGCTGGGGAGCCGGCGAGCAAACAGACCCTGTCTCTCTGGCTTGTTTTGGTCATTTGTGCTGCTTATCAGGCTAAGGGCAAGCCTCACCCTGAGGGGTTGAAGGCTCACTCGGTCAGGGCAGTAGCATTTTCAGCCGCAGAAAATGCATATATGTACCCCAGTGACGACTCTCTTCAAAGAATTGGAAACCTCTGCAGGTTTAGTTAAATTTACCTCTGTTATTTTATCCATGCACCGGTACGCAAGCTAAGATTCGACATCTTTGTGTGTACGCACGTAAGATCAAATTTATTGAGTATTTACAAAAATTAATGCATACTTGTACGCAACTGACTTAATGAGAATTGAGTTTTCACATAAATATTTGTGTAATTTACGCAGATACGCTGCTTATCTGTACCTCTGATATAATGATCAAACCACATTGTATGTTATCAATAAACATGATAAAGTAGTCCTGAATTGCTGAAAGTTGTTTGTATTAGAAGTATTTAACTTTGTATTTTTTATCAGATGATCCTGAATGACAGATACAAAGTATCAGTTTCACATTCAATGCATGTTAAGTTGCTTGTGGCTTTAAAATATGCTGGATAGGATCTGAGTGTACTGTTGTGGATAATTGAAAGACTGGCATAGTGCAATGTGTCTCTGTTACAGACAAGGGTGGATGACAACAAAGAAAGGCTCATTGTATCTCAAACCACAGTTGCTGGCCATGAGTGAGTATATCCTTATCTCAGATACCCCTTGTCTTCTGAAGAAACCACCAATACAGCTCCCATAACAAGACTGTAGGTATTATATATCCCTCCATCAAGAAGTTATCTGGACCTACCCAGAAGTTTATATTTGGCCCAAAATCTGCATCCAATATTAGCAATTCCCAAAATGAAGTAACTAGTAGCTAATTTTATGGTTTTGTAGAAATGACCTGTATTACACTGATAACATTAAGTATGAGAGCTTGTAAAACTTTATCATATATAATTGCATTGGATTTATAAAAGCAAAACATTAAAACAATCCCATTTTTATAAAGCCTAACTGTTGCAAGTCTCTTACAAAGAGTGTTGTACACTGCCATAGAACCTGTACTTCTTGCATGGTTGGTTTGTAAGACCATATCATTCAAAGCGTGGTTTTGATTGTATACCTTCTCGCAACTGACTATAGCCAGAGGGATAAATCTTGCTGGCTAATGTAGGTGGTAGATGCTCTACAACCCTCCCAAAACATTATCACGAGTGTGCTCATATAGTCTCATTCTTTTTATTTTTCTATTTTGTTGTTTATGACTGATTGCATGAACTAGTTTAAAGTAAATCTGTGGGTGTTTTTATATTTTGGTAAGGTTTTTCAAATATGGAATTTCCATGGAAATTTTAACTTGCTCACTTGACAAAACACTCAGCCAAACTTTCACCTAAACACTCCCTCATTCAAACACAGACACTGTCATGTACGCATGCACACTTATAATGCACAGACCACGGCCTCCACAACCTATATTCAAACACTGGCTCATTTACCACCATCTAGCCTAAGTATCTGTTATCATGGTTATAGTGGCAAGGCACTGTGGTTCATGTAACACCATCTCACCCGAGTGTTTGTGTTGTAGTGGCAAGGCACTGTGGTTCATGTAATACCATCTCACCGAAGTATTTGTGTTGTAGTGGCGAGGCACTGTGGTTCATGTAACACCATCTCACCCAAGTGTTTGTGTTGTAGTGGCAAGGCACTGTGGTTCATGTAACACCATCTCACCGAAGTGTTTGTGTTATATATAGCGGCAAGGCACTGTGGTTCATGTAACACCATCTCACCGAAGTGTTTGTGTTATATATAGTGGCAAGGCACTGTGGTTCATGTAACACCATCTCACCGAAGTGTTTGTGTTGTAGTGGCAAGGCACTGTGGTTCATGTAACACCATCTCACCCAAGTATTTGTGTTATATATAGTGGCAAGGCACTGTGGTTCATGTAACACCATCTCACCCGAGTGTTTGTGTTGTAGTGGCAAGGCACTGTGGTTCATGTAACACCATCTCACCGAGGTGTTTGTGTTGTATATAGTGGCAAGGCACTGTGGTTCATGTAACACCATCTCACCGAAGTGTTTGTGTTGTAGTGGCAAGGCACTGTGGTTCATGTAACACCATCTCACCCGAGTGTTTGTGTTGTAGTGGCAAGGCACTGTGGTTCATGTAATACCATATCACCGAAGTATTTGTGTTATATATAGTGGCAAGGCACTGTGGGCCATGTAACACCATCTCACCCAAGTGTTTGTGTTATATATAGTGGCAAGGCACTGTGGTTCATGTAACACCATCTCACCGAAGTGTTTGTGTTGTAGTGGCAAGGCACTGTGGGCCATGTAACACCATCTCACCCAAGTGTTTGTGTTGTAGTGGCAAGGCACTGTGGTTCATGTAACACCATCTCACCCAAGTGTTTGTGTTATATATAGTGGCAAGGCACTGTGGTTCATGTAACACCATCTCACCGAAGTGTTTGTGTTGTAGTGGCAAGGCACTGTGGTTCATGTAACACCATCTCACCGAAGTATTTGTGTTGTAGTGGCAAGGCACTGTGGTTCATGTAACACCATCTCACCCGAGTGTTTGTGTTGTAGTGGCAAGGCACTGTGGTTCATGTAATACCATCTCACCGAAGTGTTTGTGTTATATATAGTGGCAAGGCACTGTGGTTCATGTAACACCATCTCACCCAAGTGTTTGTGTTATATATAGTGGCAAGGCACTGTGGTTCATGTAACGCCATCTCACCCGAGTGTTTGTATTGTAGTGGCAAGGCACTGTGGTTCATGTAACACCATCTCACCCAAGTGTTTGTGTTGTAGTGGCAAGGCACTGTGGTTCATGTAATACCATCTCACCAAAAGGGAAGTATTTGTGTTATATATAGTGGCAAGGCACTGTGGTTCATGTAACACCATCTCACCCAAGTGTTTGTGTTGTAGTGGCAAGGCACTGTGGTTCATGTAACACCATCTCACCGAAGTGTTTGTGTTATATATAGTGGCAAGGCACTGTGGTTCATGTAATACCATCTCACCGAGGTGTTTGTGTTGTAGTGGCAAGGCACTGTGGTTCATGTAATACCATATCACCCAAGTGTTTGTGTTGTAGTGGCAAGGCACTGTGGTTCATGTAACACCATCTCACCCAAGTGTTTGTGTTGTAGTTGTAAGGCACTGTGGTTCATGTAATACCATATCACCGAAGTATTTGTGTTATATATAGTGGCAAGGCACTGTGGTTCATGTAACACCATCTCACCCAAGTGTTTGTGTTATATATAGTGGCAAGGCACTGTGGTTCATGTAACACCATCTCACCAAAGTGTTTGTGTTGTAGTGGCAAGGCACTGTGGTTCATGTAATACCATCTCACCGAAGTATTTGTGTTATATATAGTGGCAAGGCACTGTGGTTCATGTAACACCATCTCACCGAAGTGTTTGTGTTGTAGTGGCAAGGCACTGTGGTTCATGTAACACCATCTCACCGAAGTGTTTGTGTTGTAGTGGCAAGGCACTGTGGTTCATGTAACACCATCTCACCCAAGTGTTTGTGTTGTAGTGGCAAGGCACTGTGGTTCATGTAACACCATCTCACCCAAGTGTTTGTGTTGTAGTGGCAAGGCACTGTGGTTCATGTAACACCATCTCACCCAAGTGTTTGTGTTGTAGTGGCAAGGCACTGTGGTTCATGTAACACCATCTCACCGAAGTGTTTGTGTTATATATAGTGGCAAGGCACTGTGGTTCATGTAACACCATCTCACCGAAGTGTTTGTGTTGTAGTGGCAAGGCACTTTGGCGTGTGAAGCTAGGCCAGGCCCTTGGTGCTGGCAAGAGTGTGACGGTGGAGGTTGAAACAGTGTTTACTCATGCCTTGCGGGCCTACCCTGCCTTCATCACCCAGGCCGAGAAACAGCTGGTTGTACTGGAGGCCAACATATTCTTTTACTCCCCCTACAAGACACTGACCCAGACCACCACTGTGGTGACGACCTCATCCACCACCGAGTCCTACACCAAGAGTCCTAAGCCTGTGTCCCAGAGTGACAATGTCATTACATACGGTCCCTATGAAGAAAGAGAACCTTTCACAGAGGTAAGTGGAACTTGCCCTTAGTTAAACTGAGCATGATGTGCCAGGAAGGATACATTCTTTTATCGATAACTTCTTCCTATATAGAATACATATCCAATATCCGTGACTAACAATACTAAGGCCCCCAGGAACAACCCGTTACTTATTTCAAAGGTCATCTCAGCGAATGTGAGTCTCCTTGTAAAGAAACGAAATGATGAGTACTTTAACATATTTTATTACTTTAACTTCAGGGAATTTCATGCAGAAAATATTATTGCGTGTCTCTCAGGACCAGGGTTTTACATGACGCGTGATTCTTGCGTATTTGACGCAACAATTTTGTTAACAAATCTCAAAATACTATCATACGGTTCAAGCTTGATGCAAGTTTTATAGGTGGCCCTCACAATTCAGTTCAATAAAATTGATTTGATAAACAAAAAATGATATTGTTCGATGATAGTTTTAGAGAGCTGTCAGATTGTTCCAGAGGAGACAGTAACCCTGCCTGTTTGAATTGAACAATGTTGTAGTTTCATTTTGTGGTGTGACATACACAGTTACATACTGAGTATGATAAACACAAAGGAATATTAAATTTTCATGACTCCCAAATATTGAAAATGACTCCCAAAAATAAATATTGAGTCACCATGACTCCCATTTTTAAAAGTCTGTGTAAAGCCCTGCAGGACACAATATATATATTGTTTTCTGTGTCCATTATCTACAAGTTTGTGAACTGTATTCATCTTGGTTGAGGTGGTAATGTACTAGGTCTGGTTGAGGTGGTAATGTACTAGGTCTGGTTGAGGTGGTAATGTACTGGGTCTGGTTGAGGTGGTAATGTACTTGGTCTGGTTGAGGTGGTAATGTACTAGGTCTGGTTGAGGTGGTAATGTACTAGGTCTGGTTGAGGTGGTAATGTACTGGGTCTGGTTGAGGTGGTAATGTACTAGGTCTATTTGAGGTGGTAATGTACTAGGTCTGGTTGAGGTGGTAATGTACTAGGTCTGGTTGAGGTGGTAATGTTCTAGGTCTGGTTGAGGTGGTAATGTACTGGGTCTGGTTGAGGTGGTAATGTACTGGGTCTGGTTGAGGTGGTAATGTACTGGGTCTGGTTGAGGTGGTAATGTACTAGGTCTGGTTGAGGTGGTAATGTACTGGGTCTGGTTGAGGTGGTAATGTACTGGGTCTGGTTGAGGTGGTAATGTACTGGGTCTGGTTGAGGTGGTAATGTACTAGGTCTGGTAATGTACTGGGTCTGGTTGAGGTGGTAATGTACTGGGTCTGGTTGAGGTGGTAATGTACTAGGTCTGGTTGAGGTGGTAATGTACTGGGTCTGGTTGAGGTGGTAATGTACTGGGTCTGGTTGAGGTGGTAATGTACTAGGTCTGGTTGAGGTGGTAATGTACTAGGTCTGGTTGAGGTGGTAATGTACTAGGTCTGGTTGAGGTGGTAATGTACTGGGTCTTTTAAAAGGTCTTCCTGCTGTATTTTTTAAATGGTATGACATCAATTTTCCAGGCTGAACTGAAGGTCCATGAAGAAAACAATTCTCCCTTCCTGACCGTCACTAGCATGGAGCGTATAATTGAGGTGTCTCACTGGGGAAACATTGCAGTGGAGGAACACATTGACATGCTCCACTCAGGGGCTGTTCTGAAGGGGCCATTCTCCCGCTTTGATTACCAGAGGAATCAAGATGGTGTGTCCTCCATCAAGAGCTTCAAGGTTTGTATGTACTTTGTAAGAGCGGCACTAAGAAAATGTGGTATAAATCTGTTATGCTTAATTAAGTTGATTCGACCGCCTCCGTGGTGTAGTGGTTAGAGTGTCCGCCCGGAGAGCGGAAGGTCGCGGGTTTGATCCCCCACCGTGTCATAAGACGGTAAAACATGGTACTAGTTGGTCCCTGCCTGGCGCTCGGCATTAATGGGTACAACAAGGATTGGTCGGCTCGGAGTCAGTATAATGTGTCTGAGTGGGGTATTCATGCTTCACTGCGGCATGGTATCTCAGTGGGCTAGCACTATAAAACCGGCTTCAGTCTGAGCTAGTACAAGCAGCCACACACACGCATACACACGCATGCACGTCGTCATGTGAGCGAAATATTCTCAAGCACGACTTTAAACCCAATTTCACCTCACCTCACTAACTTGATTCCGAGATTTACAGGACCTGCTCAGAGGCCCAGATTAGCCCTGAGTCTCACTTTCTATCGGTGCAATTGTGTAATTTCTTAGAGATGATTGATTGAACATCTTATTATCACTGTATGAACTCAAACGTGTCGTGATGTATGTATTGATGACAAAGTTTGATTTTGCTGGTATCTACTTCATCTATTGCCCGGTGTGATAGTGACCTTGACATTGTGCTTGTTGTGTTGCAGACATTTCTGCCAGCAGCTGCCAGAGATGTCTACTACCGTGACGAGATTGGCAACATCTCCACCAGCAATGTTAGAGAATCTGATGAATTTGTTGAGTTTGAGATTCGTCCCCGCTTTCCTTTGTTTGGAGGCTGGAAGACTCACTACTACATCGGCTATAATGTTCCTAGCTATGAGTACCTCTACAATCAAGGTATTGCTTCTCAAGCAAGATAACGTAATGACATTATGAGGGCTATCTGTGCATCAGATATTAACTAGCTCATCAACATGTTAGATTAATGTATGTCAGTTTTAAGTCCTGTTACACTTTAGTGTGTATTTAGAAGTGCAGAAAGTCCTGAAATTCTACTTTTCATCATTCAGAACTCCGTTAGCATTGAAAGACCAACTTTGTCCCAGCAGTTTCATGTTGTAGCTGTGACCAGGACTCATTTGTCTTAATGACTGTGACATTTGTTCCACCTGGCAGGTGACAAGTATGCCTTGAAGATGCGTCTGGTTGACCATGTGTACGATGACATGATTGTGGATGAACTCACCGTCAGGATTATTTTGCCCGAGGGAGCCAAGTGAGTAACCCAACTGTTGGCCTGGGTGAGGTGTCCTCAGGTTTGACATAAATGTATACATATTGTGCTACAGAGCGTAGTAGGTTGTCTCATGTTATCTCTGTTTGCTAGATCAGATTCACTGTCTGCTGGTGTCACTCTGCAGTCTGTTGATGTCACTCTACTGTCTGCTGGTGTCACTCTACTGTCTGCTGTCTGCTGGTGTCACTCTATAGTTTGCTGGTGTCACTCTGCTGTCTGTTGATGTCACTCTACTGTCTGCTGGTGTCACTCTATAGTTCGCTGGTGTCACTCTGCTGTCTGCTGGTGTCAGTGTCACTCTGCTGTCTGCTGGTGTCACTGATCTGTCTGCTGGTGTCACTGATCTGTCTGCTGGTGTCACTCTGATGTCTGTTGATGTCACTCAACCTTCTCATTGCATGCTTGTGTTTCAGGAATATTGACTTGAAGACTCCTTATGATGTTAAGAAAGGTAGTGAGGGGCTCCACTTCACATATCTGGACACAGTTGGACGTCCTGTCATTGTGCTCCACAAGAATCATCTTGTAGAGCAGCACATCCAGAACATGGAGGCAAGTTGTGCATTCAGCATTGAACCAGAACATGTAAACTGGTGTTACTGTCACATTACATATTAGTTCCATTGTAGGGCACCAGAACACTATCTGTAGTCAGACTGTGTGTTGTCGGTACACTACATATGTCATTCTGTGTGTTGTAGCAGGGGTGGAAATAACCCATTGCCCGATGTCCGAGTCCAGTGTTTTTTTCTGTTGGGCAAGCAAATTTGTATATTACACTGTACCGGTGTCCAGTTGACTTTCCAACGTTAATTATGTTGTTTATGTAAAGATCAGCAAGAAAACGTCCGGTATAGTGGAAAAACTATCAGGGCAAGTGATTTTACATGTGCCACTGTACCGGAGTACGCTAGCAATTATAAAGTTATTTCCACCCCTGGTACACTATATATATGTCATGTATGACATAGTGTGACATACTGTGTTGTAGGTACACTATATATGTCATACTGTGTGTTGTAGGTACACTATATATGTCATCCTGTGTGTTGTAGGTACACTATATATGTCATACTGTGTGTTGTAGGTACACTATATATGTCATACTGTGTTGTAGGTACACTATATATGTCATACTGTGTTGTAGGTACACTATATAAGTCATCCTGTGTGTAGGTACACTATATATGTCATACTGTGTGTTGTAGGTACACTATATAAGTCATCCTGTGTGTAGGTACACTATATATGTCATACTGTGTGTTGTAGGTACACAATATAAGTCATCCTGTGTGTAGGTACACTATATATGTCATACTGTGTGTTGTAGGTACACAATATAAGTCATCCTGTGTGTAGGTACACTATATATAAGTCATATTGTGTGTTGTAGGTACACTATATATAAGTCATCCTGTGTGTAGGTACACTATATATAAGTCATACTGTGTGTTGTAGGTACATTACACCTTCCAGAAGATGCTGCTGCTTCAGGAGCCCCTGCTGGTGGTCGGGGCATTCTACTTGCTCTTTCTACTTGTCATCATCTATGTGAGACTGGATTTCTCCATCACCAAGGTAACTGGCTGTTAAAGTGTTATGTAGCTGCATAATCCAGCACACTGAGGATGGGGTGGTAGGAGTGTGTCCACTGAGGATGGGGTGGTAGGAGTGTGTCCACTGAGGATGGGGTGGTAGGAGTGTGTCCACTGAGGATGGGGTGGTAGGAGTGTGTCCACTGAGGATGGGGTGGTAGGAGTGTGTCCACTGAGGATGGGGTGGTAGGAGTGTGTCCACTGAGGATGGGGTGGTAGGAGTGTGTCCACTGAGGATGGGGTGGTAGGAGTGTGTCCACTGAGGATGGGGTGGTAGGAGTGTGTCCACTGAGGATGGGGTGGTAGGAGTGTGTCAACTGAGGATGGGGTGGTAGGAGTGTGTCAACTGAGGATGGGGTGGTAGGAGTGTGTCAACGTGCCAGGATCACATCTTGGGCAATGACTGATGCCCTGGAGAAGATTCATTGGTTTAGTTTCAGCCTGACGGTTACTCGATTATTGCTTGGGTACAGATGGATTCTTGACTTAATTTAACCACATGAACAGCCTTCACAATGACTTGTATATCGGGGTTCCTTTCGTGTGTGACTGAATTATTGCTGAACATGGGATCAAAATGAATTCACTCTTCATGTCTCCGAATCTGTAGTGTAAGGGGTCCTGAATTCAATCTTGCTCTCTCTCTTAATCAGAAGTGTATGGAGTCCAGGCTCAATTATCCACTCAGTGTTATCACTTGGCGTAAGTTCCTGAGTTGGGACTCTTTATTTGGAATTCATGTTATAGCTTCAGAATCATTGTGCCAGTGTGTTCAGTGAGGGTTACAATTGCAGGACGAAGCCAAGGAGAGTCGCATGCGAGTGGCCAGTCTGCTGGAGGAAGTACAGAGTGCCCAGGACAAACGCAGCGCCCTCTACCAGAGCTATGATGATGCCATCAACAAGTTCAAGAGCAGCAAGGACAGCAGTGCATTCACCAGTAGCCGCAAGAAGATTGACAGTGACTACAAGCAGCTGACTCAGCAGATTCAAACTCTTCAGACACAGTTGAAGAATGAGGGATCTGAGGCCTCTGAAAAGGTACCATTGTTGCACTGTCTTTCGTTGTTCACTGCACAGTGATCCAAATATACCACACAGGCCAGTGATATAGGAATGAAGTCTTGTTAGCCTGTCTGTTCAATTCTCAAATTTTCTCCCAAATTATGTTAGAAATCAATGTCAGACAGTTACTGGTGTTACCATCACAAGTGAATGAATTGCAAACATTTGCTGTCTATAATATTCTATCATATTGTTTACAGACTTACATTGTACCTTTCTACTATGTTCACACCATGTCGAATGGAGTCGTGTTTTCACTGAAATTCCATAATTAGTTTCTATGTTTATCCTTGAGATACATGTCAAGACTACATTAAGAAATTGACAAATTAATTTTGTTGGAACAGAGTAATGGCCTTGTATTGTGATTTAGCTTTGCAAGCGTGTATATAATTACATGAAGACTGTTTTTAAAACATATATCCTTCCCAGTGTCTAATACTGTCTAACACTCGCGTAAGGCTGCATAAGACTGTTTTTTTCATTAACTTCAACATTATTTACAACTGTGAACTGACAAAATTGTTAACAAAGGTGCCCTGTGGTAGGGAATAGTGATAATGTTGTTTTCTTGTTCTAACTGAATGTCACTCGTTTTCTTGGGTTATTCTTTTCCTTTGATATATCTTTACTCCCTTAGGTCAGTTGTATAGGATATTGTTCAGTCAAAGAGCATGGGTTTTCAGGGGACTTCTATCGAGTTTCTGTTCATTAGTGTGCCTATTTGACACTGTACCTACTAGTATCTGACACTAAACCTCCCTGTTGTACTCCCCATTTGACACTATACCTCCCTGTTGTACTCCCCATTTGACACTATACCTCCCGATGTTAATCCCTTTATGTACTTCTCTATTTGACACATCTGCATGTGTTTCAGGTGGGAGAACTGCAGCGTCTTGACACCCAGTACAAGGAGCAGATCAATCTGGCCATCAGCTTTGCAGAGCGTCTTGTTGCCAGTAAGATCAGTCGCCAACAGTATCTGGATGCTGAGTCTGGAACATCCTCAAAGAGAGAGGACATTTACCAGAAAATGGAAACCTTAAGAGCTAATCTGTAGAATCTGGGCGACTGTCAGATGCAGCTTTTATTTTCAGTGTTATTGAAGGTCATCTTTCATTTGTTCAACTTACATTTTGAAAATGTATTATCAACAATCATATTAAGGATGAATAAATTAATATTGTAATAACTGTTATCTTGTAAGTTTGTTCGGTGCTTCCCATAGGAACCAAGTGGAAATACGGTGTTCATCTGTACTGTGAAATTGTGAAAAGGATATTGTAGATATTCGAGATTGCTCTGTAGGTGTACCCAGCCGTAAAAGGAGTAAATGAATTTGCCCTGTATGTGGACCCTGCTGTATATGGGGTTGCCCTGTAGGTGTGCCCCGCTGTATATGGGGTTTCCCTGTAGGTGTACCCCGCTGTATATGGGGTTGCCCTGCTGTATATGGGGTTGCCCTGTAGGTGTGCCCCGCTGTATATGGGGTTGCCCTGTAGGTGTACCCTGCTGTATATGGGGTTGCCTAACAGTCTCGCCTGAATCACATCTGAGGTGTACAGGTGACGCTGGAATAATGCTTATACCTCCCACTGTCTATGGTTTACAACTAATTTATTAAGGATAACTGCTCGATTGCTTGTTTCACCCAGAGTCTCTACAATTAGAATAAAGCTCAACTTGACCAACTGTCAGTGCTGGAAGTGTCTTGCACTACTCATGATGTGTACCCGTCCCAAAGCTTGGCTGAAACAGTCAGTGGTGATTGCCATTGCACCCCGCTACTGATGACTGTAAAACACAAACAAGGCAGAAGAAAACTGTGACATTTTACTGTCCCAATTATACATTAAAGGCATCAACACTGAAACATTGTCTATTTTGATTTACAAAGCCTGTATGGCAACGTAGATAAAGTATCAAAGTGGTACAATATGCATGATGGGAGTTATGCTGGTTTCACTGTGCACAAGCCCGAGAGGAGGAAGCACACACATTATGCCAAAAACACCACTCACATTTCATACGATATTTACACAAACTTATATACAGAAGATGATCGAAGAATGACAGCATGTATTATAAACAACTTGGAGATGATTATGAAAATGGACTTTTGGAAGCCTTGATTTTGCATATGAAATTGCAACATGAAAATGTGGTATTAAACACTAATAAATAGCACACTTGTATGATGACACGGAGGCATGTTCAACATGCATAATAACAGACTAGAAATATGCTGCCTTGACTTATAGTATATGTACCGGTACATATGTGTATATATACACACCACAGACGGGCACAGCATCCATACACAACTAGACTGATGCCCCTCCAGCACTACATGTAGGCTTATAGTGCCACTGCAGAGACCAGGCTAACCCACAAGTACAATGAATCCATTATTAGCTCCAGTCAAGAAATGTTCAAAAGACCATCAATATCTAGACATGACCTATTCACACAAAACTGTTAATATGTGGAAACAGTTTCATACACTAGTCTAAAACTAAAACAGACAATTTGAAAAGGGCAGAGTTGTGAAAGACTATGTGCAAAGAAGTGTAGTCTAGAATGTTTTGGAAAGAACAGTGTTGCACAGGATTAGGTACACAACTGACAGTTGCCACTGAGGTACACTATCAAGGTAACTACATACACCACTGAAGTACACCATCAGGGTAACTACGTACACCACTGAAGTACACCATCAGGGTAACTACGTACACCACTGAAGTACACCATCAAGGTAGCTACGTACACCACTGAAGTACACCATCAGGGTAACTACGTACACCACTGAAGTACACCATCAGGGTAACTACGTACACTACTGACAGTGACCACTGAAGTACACTATCGGGGTAACTACATAAGGTTCTAATAGCACCATTGATAGCATCAGTTCAAACAACATTGTACAACGACCCACAGAAAACCATCACAATGTCAAATTGATAAGAGTTTACATGTTCAAGATCAAATCTTATGAATAATGTTCCTATGAAATTAGAAGAGTCCCCTGTGCGTGTCAGAGCCTGATACTGGTGGAGTCTTGATGCTGAACAAGAGAACCCAACTCCAAACATGCCCCACTTTGTCTGCCTGGAAGTGTATTATGCCAACTTCTTGTCAGTGCAACATTGAACAAGTTTCCATTAACTGAGATGGACGTTTTTGGTCGAATCACAGTTAAGTTGGGTTTAGATCTGAAACTTTTTCATATACCACACGCTAACTTTCAGCCCCACACTAACCTCGACACCTCCTTTGTAGTTGCTTACAATCACAACTGCAACTTTATTCTTGTGTTCATCTGGGAGAATTTGATTCATACATGAGTCCCACATAGAGAATATGAGACAACTTATAGCTTTTAACTTGTAGATAGAATCTCACACAAGTGTCTCCAGAGAAGAAATATATCAAGGGCATCACACATATGAGGGGTTTGTCGAATAAATTTCAAATTTTAACAAGGAGTCTTGATATATTTTCAGCTTGGAAGACACAAGAGTAAGATTCTTTGTATCATTCAATATCATTCTGTCAACTTATACTGTTTGTAATCCATAGTGTAAAGTGTAAATAGTATATCTTCAGTGGCAGACAGATAACGGGCATCATTTGATTGTGATGTCATGGTAACCAATGATAATCCAGCAAGCACTGTGATGGATCTACTATGAAACTTCTCTCGATACAGTGCCAGCAACATCTGTGGAGGCCAGCTTTAAATGATAAAATGCCATATTCTCTATATATCAGCTATTCAATTTAAGTACATCCAATTGTCAAAACAAGATTCAGTTCTTTCACATCTATCTACTGGTTAAACATAAACTATTAGCACAAAAACCTTACTAACAACATATTTTGAACAAGGTTAATCACAACATGCATAAAATATATTGGGGTAGGTATTCTGGTATGTGAAGCATTCAACAAAATATACAATTCTAAGACTGGTTTCACATGAATCTCAATTTGCTCTGTATTAATAAAAAAAGGACACATAAACATGTCTAAAAATACATCGGTTCAGAATACTTCATATACAAAATCCCTATCCCCAGCAACTAATAATACCACAATCCCGATTCTGTTAAGAATTTCCCAAAGTGAACAATGGAGATAACTATGTTAGTGCTGCTTCTTGTCCCTGCGTGTCCGTGAGAATTGATATGCAAAGTTCTTCCGTTTGTTTATTGTCCACTTGTGGTCATTGCCTGTGGCTGCTGGTTGTTGAATCTGATCACTAGCTACTGGTGTATGTACTGTGCGCTCACTAGATCCATGCCTGGATCGCCGTGTGGTCACACCTTCCAGGATGGGGTCAACTCGAATCACCTGGACCCGTGGAGGGGGGTTCGTCTTCCTGCTGGCCGGACGGTTGCGACTGGAGTAACCCATGTTCTTGGCACTGCGTCGCACCATTGCTGGCATATGATTGCTGACTGGAGTGGAACTTGTCCTTGATTTCTTGCTGGCGGGCTGATCCACCGAGAGAGCCTTTGACTTGGCAGCCTTCCGAGTCAAGATCACAGAACCTCTTGTGACTTTCTGATTTAAGTTTTCCTTACTTAGGGAGACTACTCTAACTGTTTTATCAACGGCAGGTTTAGGGTCAGACTTTCTGCTGGCCTTGTGGCTGTCATTGGAGTCTACATCCTGTGCTGGGACAACCATCACACTGGTTTTCGAACCCCCGTCCTCCACTGGCAGAGTGTCACTCACAAACTCAACGCTCTCTACTGAAGGAGAGCTATCGCCTGATGAAATTGTTACTACAGATCTTTTGGGATTTGTTTCCTGGCTTTCAATGTCAGTTAGTTTCCTCTTACAAGAATTACCAGCGACAACACTGCTAACTCGAATACAGTTGATGCTGTCAATGTTGTCCACTGCAGCCTCTGTATTATCTCCACCATCTTCGTCCACCTCGACGTTCCAGGTCACCGTTGTCAATGTTGCTTCACATTCAATGGTGGCTTCCTTCTTGTCACTGTCAGAGCTGCCCCTGCTGTCCCGGGAGTCGGTGGACAGCTTCATGCTCCTCCTAGACCTGGTGTTCCGTGTGACACTGCAGGAGGACACTGGAGCAATCTGCACATGTTCAATGTCTGTGATCACATGGGCTCGCTCCTCTTCATCTAAATCCCAGGTGAATGGAGCAATGCTCACCTGCTGCCTGAAAGCTTTCAGGGATCTTTGATTACGTTCTGCCAGCTTCTGATCCTCTTCATCATCCACGTCCCAAGTAAAGGGTTCGGTCTTGACTTTCTCTCGAAGGGACTTGACTCCCTTCAACTTGTCCTCTTTCTGAGGGGAATCACTGTCTGGGGCAACATCGGATGCAACGGGTATAGTGACATTGCTTGTGCTGTCTTCTTGATTTTTGACCTGCCCATTTTTCTTGCTATCAGCAACTGCACCAACAGAATTACATGATGTTTTGTTCACTGTTGGTAAACCTACATCAGTGATATCACAAGTCTGCTTGTCTGCATTTTCAGGGGCCTGCTTCTCTGCCACTACTTCACAACAATTGTTTATACCATTCCCTGCTTTCCGATCAGAACACACTGCTGCTGGTATCACAGTTGCATCGTGTTGTTCATTTGCTGCTGTAGGTTTGTCACCCTGAGACGTGTTTGATCCGCTTGCCCCAAATTCTTCCAGAAGGATCACCTCATCTTCCTCCATGTCTGCACTGTCAGCCATGCCCACCTCACTTGTGGCTTCAATTGGTATGCTGTCCACACCAGGTTCATCCGTCTTCAAACTTTCTGTGTAGCTTGTGCAATCTTCTATTGTTTCATTCTGTGTTACTTGACCATTGTCCATAGAAAGCATGGGTGTCTCTGAAGGCCTAATTTCCACCTCCGAAACTTTCAAATGTGGATCATAACCAGCATCATCATCTTGTTTTCCTTGCGATGGATGGTCTCCTGGAGCTACACTTAGATGTCCTGGAGCTACACTTAGATGTCCTGGAGCTACACTTAGATGTCCTGGAGCTACACTTAGATGTCCTGGAGCTACACTTAGATGTACAGACTCTTCCGACCCCTCCTTGCTGTCTTCTGATGCAGTGTCTGCTTCAACCTTCGTCTCATCCCTCCCTTCTGCTTCATCAATAGAGTTACAAGTCTCATTTTTCTGCTCTTGTCTTGAGTGTTTCTTCATCAGCTTTTTCTTTTTGAAAGGATCATCGTCATCTGCACGGGTATTGAGGTAGGACAAAAAGGAATCTAAGAATGATGGACTTGTTGGATTTTGTTTGGATGGAGGTGGTGATTTGGGATTATCACATGACCCTCTCCTGGTGCCCAATGTCGATGTCATGACTTCATCACATGAAGCACGTCGGGGCAAAGCATCTGCTGGAGCATTCAGCAGCTCAGCACTCTTTCTTCTCACGGTCTCTGCTGATAAGTTGTTCAGACGAACTTCAAATGATTTGAGTCCAAATTCATTCCTCTTCAGGGTGCCTCTTGTTCTGCGAGACATGTTCTGGTCAGGTGTAGCAGATTCTGATGCAGGAGCTGTTTTGGGTCGATTCTCATTTGAGTGAACCACAATTTGTCTTGCTAAGCTCCTGGTGACAAATTTAGCACTATGAGGCCTTTCTGGGGTTCTTTTTATGAGCACTTTGTTTTCTTCCTTTCTAGTGACTGGAGGCCTGCTTAGCCTACCAACAGCTTGTCTACTCTGTGTCTTCATCACGGCCAGTTTCTTGCTGCTGTGTAGTACATCCAGGATACTGCTCCTGGATGTCCTGGGTTTCATCTTCATAGAACCTTTGTAGAACTGTTTAGCAGGAATTGTCTTCCTCAGCCTATACACTCTGTCTGGTTGATTCAAGCCTCTCCTCTCAACTCGGGACTCATCTCCTTTCATCTTGTCTCTCCTTGTGGAAACCCTATCTTTCATAGTGGCACCGTCTTCTGAACTTGTCCCCTTTTGAGCTATCTCAGGGCCAGATACTCGGTTCATGGACTTTCTAAGATTTCTCTTTGGTTGCATACCAGCTTCTACACCTTCCTCAAAATCCTGCACATCAGGATCAGGGTCGTTGCTAAAAACAGCAGTCAGGGCATCCTTCACTTCTGGAGGAGATGACATAGACTCTGATGTGATTGCCTTTGTCAAGTCCAATTCATCTTGACCGATAAAATCAGCTTTTCTGGGATGGCTCCTTAGATGTTTTACAATAGCTTTTAACTCTGATGTCGTTTCTTGTACTTCTGACTTGGGAGACTCGTCCTTTTCTTCCTTCAGATCAGATACTTTGGGTGAATCTTTGGACTCGTCTTTAGTTAAAACCAGCTTGCACTCAGAAACTTCAGACTGATCAGTAACAACAGGGCTTAAGATATCTGACTTGCTGCTGGTCAAGAGTTCAGTATTTCTGAGATGGCTTTTTAAATGTTCGACATTCACATGGTCCTGATCTACTTTCACTTGCTGATCTGCTAAGGTGCTGGTGTCGTCTGCCAAGTCATCACCAGGTCTGGATATACCCACATCCTCATCTCCACTGGTAACAGACGCCTTTACAAAACCTGGTGGTGGAGACTGCTCACTTTCAGTCTCAGTATGACATAGTTCTTGCACAACAGTTTCTTGGCATTCCTCAGGAAAACTCTTTTTCTCTACAACATTTTCCAGCTCGACACCCGTGACCTGGTCATGAGGTTTAGCTTCTACAGGGTCAACACTTATCAAGACTTCTGCTTCAGTCTGGGGCCTTTGGTTACAGGCCTGAGGCACATCTACTGTTGATGTCTCACAAATGAAGTCTCCTTTCATATTTTCTTTTTGAGTCACACTGGCATCAGAATCATGTTCCTGGGAAAGTGCACTAGGTTCTACAGGCAAGGGAGTTTCATTGATGCCAGGATCAGCAAGACTTGGTGCCACCACATTGCTCTCTGTTAGTCCCAAGGAAGGACTTTGTTCTTGACAGACTGCAGAACTGATCACTGGAGCTACAGGCTGGAATGAAGTTTGTTCTGAGATTCCACTTGTTATATCTGAATGAGGGGCTGGATCATTTATCATTCTTGCAAATGCTGCAAGTTCATCAACATTTTCTTTTGAAGGGTCAGGTAGAAATTCATGGAGTGAGTCCAGAGACATGGATGTTGGCAGTGCTGTCTGATGATCACCAGCTGCTGTACAAGGGGACAAAAGGTGAACATCACCCACACTCTCGGGACGGAGCTTCAGACCATCATCTCCCTGATTCTGTTGCTGTCGGATCTTCAGCATGTCATTCAGAGCTTCCTGAATGTCAGGAAACGGAACATAATTTTCCTCTGATTCTTCCTTTTCTGGACTCTTTTCCACTTCATCTACATCGCCTTTTTCCTCAATCAAAGCATCCATTCTTTCTAAAATGATCTCAGAGTGCTGAGGAGTATGATTCAAGTAGGAAATGAAAGCTGGGAAAAGTTGCTCACAGAGATGGCAAACAGTTGCCCCAGACTCCCCCTTGCGAGTGGAGTAAGGCTGTAAGTGTTTAATAACCAGATGCTGGATGAGGTTCCTATGATTTCGAAACAAAGTTCCACATGGGGCACATCCACATCCCCACTCCAGGCCAACAATGATGATGACCTGCCTTGTTTCTGACAGGATCTGTGGTTTAGGTCGGCCCTTAGTTCTGGGAGATAAGGGAACGCTCTTGCCATCACTCCTAACATCACATCTATCTTTCTTCCCACTCAGCAAACATTCAAGACGGTCTTTCAACATTTGCTTCACATTTACATGCTTCTTCTTGGGTATTGGCTTGTTCCTCTTCTTTGGTGAACTCTTTTCCCCTGGTACTTCGGGTACAGTCTCAAACACATCATTATTTGGAATTCTATCACTTTTCTTGGACTTTTTCTTCTTGGGAGCTGGAGCTCCTTCTGCCTCCTCACTGTTGCCTTCACCTGCAGGGATAGCTGCCTTCACTTTCTTTTTCTTTTTCGGAGCTGAAGAATCTATCACAGACTGAATGGCATCTTCATACTTAGCCAGTTCCTTACCGTCTACAGGCACAGGTGGTGGTTTGGGCTTACTTGGACTCGACTTATTGGAATTGTTTTGGGATTTACTGGGCATTCCGGATATTGTCTTACTTATTTCCTTTGTGTTGGCAGTAGGAGATGCAGATGCTGCATTTCCCACTTGGCTGCTGGTTCCAGTATCGGGACAAGTTGCACTACCATCAGCTACAGCTGACATCTCATGTGTCCCAGCAGCAGGAAGTCCACTGTCTGAGACAACAGATAGCATTCCTGGTGTCTGCGGGACAGAGGTAGGTAGCTTTTGATCAGACGCCTTCTTGGGTTTTCTAATAGGTCCATTCAGGTTGTAACACTCAGGCCAATGTGTAACTAAACTTTCCATTCTGCAAAATGTTTGTTTGCACAAAAAGCACTTGAAAAAGGTATTCCCATTATGACAAAGTTCTTTGAACTTCGGATTCGGTATTTTCTTAGGTTTTGTTGGCTTTGGTTTTGGTTTAGGTGCCTCAGATTTAGCTTTCATGACAGGCAACTGTGTTTGTCCTGCCAGTGGTATTGTTGCTGCTATGACTGCTGCAGGTGGCTGGGTTGTAGATGTTACTGTTGCTGATGATTGAGTTGTAGATGTCACTGACATGGATGCTGTTGTGAAGGTTGCTTCTGTTGCTGCCTCTAACTTGTCTACCACACCAGACATAACTGACACTACAGCCTTTGGGATTTCCACTTTCTTAGTTTTATTCTTCGGCTTGCTTGGGGGTGCTTGAGTCTTCTCCTTCATCATCTCCTGTCGTTTGAAATGTTCAATGAATTTTTTCAGATCATCTGTGTTTGTTAGATCCAGGGCTGCCAGATCTATAGGTGGTTCTAGTTGAGGAGGTGGAGCAGCATCCAGCACAGTCAGGGTCTTCTGTCCACTGCCACCTTCAACTGCTGAGTGGGGAGGCCCAGGAAGTCCCTCAGTTGATGGTGGCTTTTCACATTTCTTACGTGGTCTGCATCTGCTCTTCAGACATCTTGTTCTGTGGTCAAGCACCTCTGGGTCTGTCACACAAAATATCTTACATACTGGGCACTGGTATACCCTACATGCTTCCAGTGATTTGATGGTAAGTTTGGGATTTAAATGTCCAGATTTCACAGACTGGTCTGATGTTTCACCATTAGCATCAACAGGAGCAAACTCCTCTGCTCTGCATATAGACTGGATGTGCTTCCGTAGATCATCCAGAGACAGCAACTGTTCTTGACATATTTTGCATTGATAAAAGACATTGAAGAGCTTCTTCGATGCCTTTTTTAGGTTTGTCAGTTGAAGAGACTGTAGCAACAACATCCTCAACTGGTGTAGATACTGCAGAGGAGCAGGAGGAAGAAATGCTCTGGTTTGCTTCCATAGAGCATGGCCTAGTTTCAGCGGAGATGGCACCTGGAGTGGTAACTGGTCCTACCGAAGAGTCGGCAGTGTTCGGTAAAGAGATAGCTTTGGGCAAAGTCCCAGGCTTGGAAACAATGGAACCACTCGACAGCAGGGGTTTAACACAAGTCAGGCTTTCCTTGCCACATCCTCCTAACAATGCAGTGTTTGTAGTTACTTTTGAGTTCCTCATTGAATTTGTAAATATTGTGGCCTTACTCTTAGGTTTTGGTTTTGGCTTGGTTAACGGTGACTTGAGAACAAAGGGAACATTACTGTCCCCTGTAGCAGCACTTGGAGGAGTAGCATCAGGCATCATTGCCTTGCCTGTGATTTCTGATTTCTTCTTAACAATAGGAAAAACTGGATTTTTACTTTTCAAAGCAACATGAGGATGATTTGTACTTGTGTAAATAGCATTATCTACAGGAACTGATTTCTGTTCTGTGCTAGTAACAGTCTTTGAAGACAGTCTGAGCATTTGTTGGAGATTAGCAGTAATGACAGGGCTTGCTTTTGCATGATCTGTTTTCTGTACTCTATGCTGGTTTACACCTGTAAGCTGTGGTTTTCCCTGGTGTTGCTGCTGCTGCTGCTGTTGCTGCTGTTGCTGCTGTTGCCTCTGAACACCCTGTGGCCTACCCTGACTGAAAGTTGTGGACATTGTGGTCTGTCCAAGCTGTTGATTCACCACAGCAACTGGGACTTGGGACTGCACCAGTTGGGGCTGAGCCAGCTGAGCTGCAATAGAAGGTGCAATCTGAGCAACAGTGGATGTTGGTTGCACCCCAAGATTCACTGACAACGGAGAGGCCTGCTGGACAGGTGCTGACACAGAGTGAGACACTGCAGAAGTCCCGATGAGATTGATGGCAACAGGACCATGTTGCTGCTGGACCACTTGTTGCTGGACCACTTGTTGCTGAACCACTTGTTGCTGCACTGTCTGAGCAAGGTTAGTGTAATACTGAGGCTGAGGCAGAGTCTGGGTTGTCACCTGGCCACCTGAGTAAGCCACTGCCACCTGCTGACCTGGTAGGGGTGTTGCCCTGGACTGGTCCTGAAGGATGACAGCTTGCTCCTGGTGTGTAGGTACAGGCAACTGAGTGGTCGGCAGCTGTGAAGGAACACGCAAGAGGCCTGAGGTGATGTGGAACACAGCTGAACCCACTGATGATTTTGCGACTGAAGGGGGCTTTACAGCTCCAGAACTAACTGCCATGTGTTTGGTGTGTAAGTGTCCTGATCGAGCCTGAGTTGAGGAGGTGGACTGAAACGATTGACTGGTTGTTGCACATGCTGGCACTAATTTCATTGCTCCTTTGTTCGAAGATTGTGGTTTGCTATTCTTCAAGGTTTCAATCTTGGACAGTAGCTGTTGCTGTTGGAGTAGCTGCAGCTGTTGTAGTGTATGCCCTGCTGACTGCGAGTGTTGAGGGACTGGTCCAGCATCGTTGGTGGGGACCTCCTGTTCTGGGATGCTGAGTGATGAGAAGAGGGGATCAGCTGCAGACACAGGTGCGGTGTGTTTCATGTGCCCTGGCACCGGCACAGATATCTCCTCCCCTCCAGAACCATTGTTGTCGATGGTGATCTCCTGAAACGCCTCAGGCATGAGGTCAATGTTGCCCTGCTGTAGTAACTCATTGAGAGTGTGTGCATCGGGAAGGTCAGCAAGAGACAGGTCTTCTGTAGCAAACAGCAACTGTCTGATCAGAGTATGTTTGTCTCCTAGCTCAACATCAGACAGTTGTAGAGTTGGTTCAATACTTGCAATGCTGCTGCTTGTCACGTCCTGACTCTGGCCCTTGCCTGCAGACACCACAGTGAATGGTTTGAGATGTTTTGATACCTGAGTTATTTGTTCAGTGTAACCTGGCATGTTGGAGCTGATGGGTCTCACAAGGTGTTGGTGGAGCAGGGTCCTCTGGGAGCTGTGAGGACTCATCCCACTCTGGTCCAGCTCTGTGATACTTCCCTCACTAACAGAACTACTGTCATTAATGAGATCTTCATTGGAGTAGTTCTGGGCCACTGCTTCTCTCTCGGCAAGATACTTGTCACACGCAGGGCCCAGTGACAGCCAGTCATGATCCGGGTTCAGGTAGTAGGGTCGCAGCATGTTCAGGAGTCTCTCCACTTCAAAGAACGTGGCTGGGTTGATCTTGCCACTTTTGGTTGGGTGGTCGCACTCCCCAGTCTTGTTGGTACAGTTAGAACAACACACCTTGCCCCTGTCTTTCACTAGAGACAGACTCTGGTTGACATAGAAGGACTTGACGGCAGCCAGAGTTGCCTGGTTGGGATTAAGGGCGAAGGCAGTGACAGCAGCATACATGGCAGTCTTAGGGTTGCGGGTTGCATATAGGAGAGACAGTTTCTCGCACGTGGCAGCCATTGCTTGCTGTCTCTCCCTAAGGCCGTCCATGTCCCCTTCCTGCATGTGTTTCTCCAGGCAGCTCTTGTCGTAGTTGATGGCAAATATGCAGAGGTCTGTATACAGCTGCAGGAACATGTTGCCACACTGAAACACAAACACACATCATCAGGCACTGAAACACAAACATCATAAGGCACTGTAACACAAACACACATTATCAGGCACTGAATCACAAACACACATCATCAGGCACTCAATCACAAACACACATCATCAGGCACTGAATCACAAACACACAACATCAGGCACTGAATCACAAACACAAATCATAAGGCACTGAATCACAAACACACATCATCAGGCACTAAATCACAAACACACATCATCAGGCACTGAATGACAAACACACATCATCAGACACTGAATGACAAACACACATCATCAGGCACTGAATCACAAACACATCATCAAGCACTGAATCACAAACACACATCATCAGGCACTGAATCACAAACACACATCATCAGGAACTGAAACACAAACATCATCAGGCACTGAAACACAAACACACATCATCAGGCACTGAAACAAAAACATCATCAGGCACTCAATCACAAACACACATCATCAGGCACTCAATCACAAACACACATCATCAGGCACGGAATCACAAACACACATCATCAGGCATTGAATCACAAACACACATCAGGCACTGAACCACAAACACACATTATCAAGCACTGAATCACACACATTATAAGGCACTGAATCCCAAACACACAACATCAGGCACTGAATCACAAACACACATCATCAGGCACTGAATCACAAACACACATCATCAGGCACTGAATCACAAACACAATCAGGTACGGAATCCCAAACACACATCATCAGGCACTGAACCATAAACACACATTATCAAGCACTGAATCACACACATTATCAGGCACGGAATCCAAAACACACAACATCAGGCACTGAACCACAAACACACATTATCAGGCACTGAATCACACACATTATCAGCCACTGAATCACAAACACACATCATCAGGCACTGACTCACAAAGACATCATCAGGCACTGAATCACAAACGCACATCAGGCACTCACTCACAAACACACATCATCAGGAACTGAAAAACAAACACACACACCATCAGGCACTAAATCACAAATACACATCACCAGGCACTGAATCACAAATACACAACATCAGGCACTCAATCACAAACACACATCATCAGGCACTAAATCACAAATACACATCACCAGGCACTGAATCACAAACACACAACATCAGGCACTGAAACAAAAACACACATCATCAAACATAAATCACACATCATCAGGCACTGAATCACAAACACACACACACAACATCAGGCACTAAATCACAAATAAACATCACCAGGCACTGAATCACAAACACACAACATCATGCACGGAAACAAACACATAATCAAGCACTGAAACACAAACACACATCATCAGGCACAGTATCACAACCACACATCATAAGGCACTGAATCACAAACACATCATCAGGCACTGAAACACAAACACATCATCAGGCACGGAATCACAAACACACAACATCAGGCACTGAATCACAAACACACATCTTCAGGCACTGAAACACAAACACACATCATCAGGCACGGAATCACAAACACACAACATCAGGCACTGAATCACAAACACACATCTTCAGGCAGATGTAAAAAGGATGTAAGCAGACACCATAAGACATTCAATAATTACTGCAATACTGAGGTCAGGTGAGTGTGAATCTGTTCTTGTGCATTCAGAGTTGTGAACTGAAGGCTGCAACTAACTCACCTCTTCTCTCACGCCGTCAATGATGAGACCGATCTGTTCTGTGGAGCGGGACAGTTTCGCCACGGCCCACACACTGCTAAGGAACTTGTCCTGGTCGCTGTCTGCCAGATACTGGTGGCGGATCCACAATGTCAGCAGTTCCTGCAAACCCACAAATTCAATAAATTCACATATCTGAGTTGCTGTATTTCAATATTTTGAATTCTGATAGGCATCTTAACACAAAGATTCCAACCTGTAGTACTACAACATGCACACATCAGGGCAAGACTCCCGTCATCCTGCCAGCTGTGGTACTACAACAAACGTCAGGGTGAGACACCCGTCATCCTGCCACCTGTGGTACTACAACATGCACACATCAGGGCAAGACTCCCGTCATCCTGCCAGCTGTAGTACTACAACATGCACCCATCAGGGCAAGACACCTGTCAGGTGGCCAGCTGTAGTACTACAACATGCACACATCAGGGCAAGACACCCGTCAGGTGGCCAGCTGTAGTACTACAACATGCACACATCACGGTGAGACACCCGTCAGGTGGCCAGCTGTAGTACTACAACATGCACACATCAGGGCAAGACTCCCGTCATCCTGCCAGCTGTGGTACTACAACATGCACACGTCAGGACGAGACACTCGTCATGCTGCAGGTTCTAGCATGTGGCAGTAGAGTTGAGGGTGATTTTCCAGTGATTTTCAATGGAAGCAAATCATTGAGGGTCTCTGATACTAATACTGATGTGATAAGATTCTAGAACCTACTGACCTTGCTGCTACAGTGGTCTGAGGGTCGAATCCAGTCCTGGATGAGGAAGGTCTGTGCCAGCTCAGTACACAGGGCCTTGTTGTTCTCAGTCTGCTGGAGTCTCGTAATGAGACGCACGCCATCATGGCAAGGGATCTTCTGACACTGCAACATACAGATAACATTGAACATAAACTGTACACACAGAGACAACACAGGACTGCAACATACAGGTAACATTGAACATAAACTGTACACACAGAGACAACACTGGACTGCAACATACAGATAACATTGAACATAAACTGTACACACAGAGACAACACTGGACAAGTCTCTACCTTCAAGCAACACAAGACACACATCTCTACCGGTTGCTGTTCTGCACTCATGCTACTATGTTGCTGTTCTGCACTGATGCTACTATGTTGCTGTTCAGCTACTCATGCTACTATGTTGCTGTTCAGCTACTCATGCTACTATGTTGCTGTTCTGCACTCATGCTACTATGTTGCTGTTCTGCACTCATGCTACTATGTTGCTGTTCTGCTACTCATGCTACTATGTTGCTGTTCAGCTACTCATGCTACTATGTTGCTGTTCAGCTACTCATGCTACTATGTTGCTGTTCACCTACTCATGCTACTATGTTGCTGTTCAGCTACTCATGCTATGTTGCTGTTCTGCACTGATGCTACTATGTTGCTGTTCAGCTACTCATGCTACTATGTTGCTGTTCAGCTACTCATGCTGCTGTTCAGCTACTCATGCTACTATGTTGCTGTCCAGCTACTCACCTCCTCCTGAAGACGATCCTGCTGGTTCAGCTTGTGCAGCAGCATCAGCTGTGTCTGTCGTATGTCAAGGTCGTCTGTCAGAGCGGGGTGTTTAAGGCACCAGGAGCACAGGTTGAGTGCAAACTCCTCACAATTCTCCTGAATCATGATCTCAACACGGATCTTTAGGATGACAGGGTCCTCTTGCTTGATGTAGTTCAAACCTACAAAAAGTAATACATACCTACAACATAGAACAACATTAAAAGAGATCACAAGGAATGTGTGACAAAAAGAATGCCTGCAGGTTGATGCCCCATGGAGATACTGGTTAAGGATATAGATCTCCAACAACCCATGCTGGTCATGAAGGTCACCATGCTGTCAGTGGTCACACTCGCTGACTTGGTGGACTCCATTCCTGATATCAATGTTGTGCAGATTGCTGGCCATGATGTCAATCACTGGACCATCTGGCTCTTTACAGATCGATGTTGTGTAGATGGAGTATTGCAGATTATGTCCCCTTAAACAAATACCAAGCTGTCTACTGAGGCAGGTAACTCACACTCTTCCTCCTCGTTGTCGTCCTCTTCAGCCATCACGAGCCCCAGGGTTGGGTGTGTCCAGCCTGTCTGGATCAGGTCATGGATGAGGCTGAAGCGAGTGTAGTTGTGCGATGACAGCTTCGTGTGAAATGTTTCCAGCGTGGTGTGGAAGTTCTGCTTGCTCTGGCTGTCATCTGCTAGCTGCTGCCACTGGATGTTTAGCACTGTCCGTGCACAGTGCCTTAAATATACATCAGAAACACACGGTGAATATTTCTAACAACAGTCATCAGAAGATCACAAATCCCCCTGGCCTCTACAAATTTGAAAGAACACTGACAATTACATTAAGTCAAACTTGATGACAGAATTTCTGTCTAATCTGTCTGCCCATATACAAGTGTAGTTATTGAGCTATCAACACATTAACATGGAATTGGGATTTGTAACTTTATAGGTTCACACCAATATCAAAGTCACAGGTAAAAATATAAATTTAAAAAATCACAAATCCCAAAAGGCAGCAGTTGACAACCTGGTCTTTGTGTGCGCACAGTCTCATGAAAGAATAAGAAACTATTTTGGGATAAACTTATTTCCACTGAAACAGGAAACAGATTTATTTTCTTACAATTCCTAAGTAGCAAAAGGCACCACTTCAGCCTTTGGTAAATACATGTACCCAGTTGGGATGAAAGGTGTCCCATGGTTTTTAAGAAATCCACCACCCCCGTTCCGTTTTGAGTCTGAATCGTTTCCATGTAAATCAAGAACAGTTAAAATGCCAAAAACCTGCACGTCCCACTTGCACAGAACAATTGTATGTTGATTGTAAAGTTGATTGTAGGGGCCTGAGATTGATTGTAACTAACATTGCTCTGTGCAAGTGGGCCCAGGTGAGGATCTGTTTGACATATCCACCAAGTAATATTCAAATTCAAATGGTTTTCGAGTTGTGCTCCGGAAACAACACCTACCTCCATTTCAGCTTAGTCTAACTTGTTTCCATGGAAACAGTGAAAAATCAAATTTTGAAAAATTCCTACATAGCAAAAGGCACAAGTTCAGCCCTTGGTTAATACATGTACCAGGTTTGGATGAAAAATGTTTAATGGTTTTCAAGTTGTGCTCTGGAAACGAAAACCACCTCCTCCTTTTGAAACCAAGTCCAAATTGTTTCTAAGGAAATCAAGAAAAATAAAGATGCCAAAAATCTGCAAGTAGCAGATGGAACCAATTCTGGGTCTGTTTGATATATCTGCCAAGTCTGGTTGAAAAATATTGAACTATTTTTTACTTATGCCCTGGTAACGAAATGACTACGCAGGGATTTACCTCATGTCCTATCTTTGACTTTGAGGGTCCCTTGGACTCATACTTTTAATTTTGAGGGGTCCTGGACTACAAAATGGGCGTCCCAGACACTTAAATATCATTATTAATGCTATGTTGTAATATTGTTGTAATATAATTGCAAATGATACCATAACCCGGCAAGTAGCAGATTCACTTATTGTTACTTGATCGATATGTTGACAAAAAGTATTTGGACTTTTTCTGCGACCCTGTGGACGCGCTGATCAATTTCGTTGCATCAGTTATCAATTTTTATGCTTATAAGATGCAGGAATTCGCGTCCCATAAATCCCTGGATTACGGATAGACAGATGGGCGAACAGACGAGGCGCTGACTATACACCCTGCATTATATGCTGGGGGGATAAAACAAGAGTCATCAGAAGATGACATATCCCTCCCAGCCCCCACATCTTTGAAAGAACAAATCATCAGACAGTTACTTAAAGTCCAGCTTGATTTTACTATTTTAGACTTTTAGCAAATCGTTTCCATGGAAATCATGAAAAAAATAAATGACAATGACAAAAATCTGCAAATAGCAAAAGGCACCACTTCAAGATCTGCCTCACATAACTGTCAAGTTGTACTGAAAGATATTAAGAAGGTTTCGAGTTGTGCTCGGGAAACGAAACCCACCCTCCTTTTTGGGACTAAGTCCGAATTGTTTCCATGGAAACCGGGGAAAATAAATCTGCCAAAAATCTGCCAAATAGCAAAAGGCACCACTTTGGCATCTGCCTCACATATCTGCCAAGTTTTGCTGAAAGACATTAAGAAGTTTTCCAGTTGTGCTCCGGAAACGAAACCCACCCCTTCCTTTTGAGACTAAGTCCGAATCATTTCCATGGAAACCAAGAAAATAATCAATCACAAAAATCTGCAAATATTAAAAGGCACCACTTTGGGATCTGCCTCACATATTTGCCAAGTTTTGCTGAAAGATATTAAGAAGTTTTCAAGTTGTGCTCTTTTGGGACTAAGTCCGAATCGTTACCATGAAAACCAAATTTTTTTTTAAAAAAATGCCAAAAATCTGCAAATAGCAAAAGGCACCACTTAAGGTTCTGTTTGATATATCTACCAAGTTTTGTTGAAAAATATTGAACGGTTTTTGAGTTATGCTCCGGAAACGAAACCCACCCACCCTTTAAGACTAAGTCCAAAACGTTTCCATGGAAACCTAGAAAAATAAAAATGACAAATATCTGTAAATAGCAAAAGGCACCACCTTAGGTTCTGTTTGATATTTCTACCGGTTTTGGAGTTATGCTCTGGAAGCAAAATGATTACGGACTGACGGACAGACGGACGAGGCGTCGACTATATCCCCCCGCATTACACATTACATGCTGGGGGGATAAAAATTCATTTCTAAATCATACATGTTCACATATATTTGACACACACTTTTACAGTTTTATTTAAGCATGCCTCCACATCACTGTATGCTCCACATCAATGTATGCTCCACATCAATGTATGCTCCACATCACTGTATGCTCCACATCAATGTATGCTCTATGCATTAAATAAAATCCATAACAACAAAATCCTCTGAGAGTTTGTTGCATGTGAACACTCTGTGCCTCGTGGTGAACTCCTGTATATGTTTCTATAACTATGGCATCTGACCAACAAGGGCAGCATGCTGGTACTGTTGTGAAGAAATAGTCCTTGGATCACATATTTTAACACAGTCATGTCAAAAAGTCAAATTGAAACAAGAAGACAAAGTCATCAATAACCCCTTCAATGGCAAAATACTCTTCATGAATATGTCTACGAGTTATGATTATGTCAAATGTTTTGGTGTGTATATAGAAAAGTGGAAGGAGAATATTGAAAGGTGAAGAAATAGTGAACGGTTTTAGAATTCTGCTCTGGAAAAGAGCACTACCACCAATTTCAGTCTAAGTCAAACCTGTTGCCATGGAAATGCCAAAAATATTTTATTCAGAATTCCCAAACTACTAAACGGCACCAGTACACCACCAGATCTATCCATGTGCCAAGTTTTGGGAAGAAACATTGACGGTTTTAAAGTTTTGCTCCGGAAAAGTCAAATGTGCACAGATGCATGGACAGGGTCCATTTTATAGTATGACCAGAAATTATTGAGAATTTTAGGAACATGTGTAATTGGATTTCTAGCATAAACAACCTTGACAAGCTATCAAGTGCTTGGTTTCATTCAAGAGAGACAACTCCGTTAATCCCTTTTCATTAGTTTGTGAAGAGTTATCCCCCCTTTGTTTACTTACTAGCAGACGACATTTTCAGTGATCCTCAGTATGGATGATTTAGAGAAGAGGAAGTTGATTTTAGAGTATTATAACAAGGACATCAGATCAGCTAAAGTGATTTCAAGTAGAACAGGCATCCCTTTGTCCACTGTTTATTGTGTTTTAAAAAATATTGCAAATGGATATGGCATTGAGCACCAGGGAGGCGCAGGTAGACTCAGAAAATTGACTGTCGGCGACAGGAGGCGGCTTGGTATTCTTGTTTCTCAAAACAAACGAACGAGCTTAGAAAACTTCAGGCTGGATATGATTGATAGAGGAACCGTGATTGTCTGTAAGGAGACAATTAGAACTGAGCTGCATGCAATGGGTTGGCAGAAAAGTCGAGGATTTCCATCACCGATTATGAAACCTGAACAAAATGAGTGAAGGTTGAACTGGGGCTTACAGCATAGAAATTTTAACTGGGACAATGTGATTTTCTCAGATGAAAGTTCTGTGTAGCTGTTTCCTAATACACTGAAATTCTGGACCAAAAAAAAACTGAAAAACCTTTGTATCAGTGCCCAAAGTACAGTCCGAAATTTAACGTGTGGGGTGGCATATCTGTGTTAGGGGCAACGCCCCACTGTGTATTTGAAGAGAATATGAACAGTGAGCGGTACACAGATATTCTCGAGGGACCTTTATTTCCATCTGCTCACGTGTTCTATGGAAATTTTTTTGATTTTCCAGCAGGACAACGACCCAAAACATCGTTGCATTCACAGGCCTGGTTTCAGACCCAAAATATGACATTATTAGATTGGCCAAGTTATAGCCCTGACCTAAATCCAATAGAAAATGTTTGGGGACTTATGAAGGAAAGTGTCAATAAGAAAAATCTGATAAATATTGCTGAAATGAAAGAAAAGGTGGTCCGATATTGGGACAGCATGGACCACGACTTTCTAACTTCTTTGATCAGTAGTATGCCCCGCCACATTGATTCTGAAGCCTGCATTGCTGCCCATGGTGACTTGACAAAATACTAACTGTTCACCTGTCTTTGAATCTGGAGTTATGTTCTGCTAATATTCACATTTAATACGTGAGTAATGAGTGAAAAAAAAGAAAAAATTACAATCTTTAAATTCTCAATAATTTCTGGTTGTACTGTAATACAGTATACCGCGGTATTAGTAGAACCGCAGTATTAGTAGAACCGGGGTAGTTTGCCTTTGGTTCGGTATACTGTAATGCAGTCCAAAAAAATCGGTTTTCGTACCGTCATTTTATTAACCTTTTAAACCTTTTCTAAATGTCTAAATATCGAATCATTTTGTCAAAATCTGTTAATTTCTTTGCATTTCTTTTCTTTTCTGCATTATGATCATATCTCTTACCGCGGTAAGAGCGTACCCTTTCACCCCTAAATAAAACATATGAAACAATACTGTGATGACCATCAAGACTCAAGAATTATTCCTGTATTTCAATTGCAAAATTAACAAGAAGACAAAGTCATCAATATCCCCTGCAATGGCAAAATAATCTTCATGATTATGTCTACGAGTTATGATTATGTCAAATATTTAAGTGTGTATAAAGAAAAGTGGAAGGAGAATATTGAAAGGTTTTTTAAAGTTCTGCTCCAGAAAGGAGCACTATCACCAATTTCAGTCTATGTCAAACTTGTTGTCATGGAAATGCCACAAATATTTTATTCAGAAATCCAAAACTACCAAAAAGGAACCAGTACAACACCAGACCAATCTATGTGTCAAGTTTGGTGAAGAAATAGTGAACGGTTTTAGAGTTCAGCTCCGGCAAAGAGCACTACCAACAATTTCAGGCTAAGTCAAACTTGTTGCCACGGGAAAGCCAACAAGAAGACAAAGTCATCAATATCCCCCGCAATGGCAAAATACTCTTCATGATTATGTCTACGAGTTATGATTATGTCAAATATTTAGGTGTATATATAGAAAAGTGGAAGGAGAGTATTGAAAGGTTCTTAAAGTTCTGCTCCAGAAAGGAGCTCTATCCCCAATTTCAGTCTAAGTCAAACTTGTTGTCATGGAAATGCCCAAAATATTTTATTCAGAAATCCAAAATTACCAAAAGGCACCAGTACACCACCCAGACCAATCTATGTGCCAAGTTTGGTGAAGAAACATTGAACGGTTTTAGAGTTCTGCTCCGGAAAAGAGCAATACCACTAATTTCAGGCTAAGTCAAACTTGTTGCCATGGAAAAGCCAAAATGTTTTATTCAGAATTCCCAAACTCCCAAAAGGCACCAGTACACCACCAGATCTATCCTAGTTTGGTGAAGAAATATTGAACGGTTTTAGAGTTCTGCTCCGGAAAAGACAAATATGCACGGACGGACGGACGCACGGACGGACGGATGCACGGACGGAGTCCATTTTAATACCCCCCGCAACGCGTTTTGCGGGGGATAAAAATACCGAACGGTCTTGGAGTTATGCTCCAGAAACCAAATGATTACGGACGGACGGACGAGGCGACAACTATATCCCCCCACATTACATTCCGGGGGGATGAAAATGACAAAAATCTGTAAATGGCAAAAGGCACCACATTAGGTTCTGTTTGATATATCTACCAATATTTGTTGAAAAATATTGAACGGAAACAAAATGATTACGGACGGACGAGGCGTTGACTATATCCCCATTACATGCCGGGGGGATAAAAAGTTATTTATACATTGAAAAGAAGTGTTTGACTCTTTGTTACACCAAGATTGACAAGGTATCCATCTACCACAATATTACAAACAGAATGTGAATAAATTCAAATATGTTCACACACTCCTTATTCTGAAAGGCAAAGAGAGCAACATTTCTTAACCTATGATGTTACAGAAATTGCTACAATGTAACCACATTGTGTGACATCATAGCACTGTATGATGTCATCAATAAAATATACTAGGGACATAAAGAAACTGTGCATACAAAAATTTAAAATCTAAATTTATCAAACCTGTGTAGACACATAAGGATTTAAACTCAGAGATTAGTGACATGTATCCAAATGCATGCACATGCCACGTTCCGTGACATCAGTGGTTTCGGCCTTGAGACGTGCAATACGTTGTTGCACGTGCATTCCGGGAAAGAGAAACAGAGCAAATGAATGCCACACAATACTGTCACTTTGGAAAGCTCAACCCCTGCCCTTGCGATCGTTCAAAAAATTAAACGGCTATTGAAACGCATAGCATGCCAAAGCTCACGTCTGCACAACGTCATGAGGCCATTGGGATGGTCCGTGGGGGAATGTCTCAACGACAAGTGGCTTCACATTTCCACTGCCACCGGAACACCATTTCTGCACTGGTGAGACGCTACCAGAACACAAATGACGTCATCGATCGGCCACGTTCTGGGCGTCCACGTGTAACAACGCCAAGACAGGATCTATGGATAAGGGTGACCCATCTTCACCACAGGTTTCAGACTGCAGTGATGACTGCCCGAACCATCCCAGGACTTCGCCGTATCCACCCCAACACAGTTCGACAACGTTTACGTCATCACAGGATCAGACCTTGAGAGAATCTGGCGTGACATCCCACAAGCCTTCCTTGCACGTTTGATAGGCTCCATGCGTCGTCGATGCACTGCTGTTCTCACTGCCGATGGTGGACATACCTGTTATTGAGCTTGTGACGTGGTCGTTTGACCCCTGTCCCGCTTATGGACTCGTGATGTCATTGTGATTGACTTTTCAATTGAAATTCTCCCGACTTGTTATGGTCTCATGATCCCTCCATTAAAGTTTATATGTACCTTTGACATTGTTATCGTACTTATCAACTGGGATAATATTTTGACAATGCACAGTTTCTTCATGTGGCTAGTATATTACAGATTCTAAGAAATGGTAAAAATATGCAAATGAGCACTTTGTTTTATCTATTTGCTACAACCTTTGCACAGGAACACGTGGAAATTTGAAATAATTATCTTTTTTTACATAATAACATTTTATCCATAAAAGGAACTCCCAGCTCAACAGAAAACATGACCAGATCCGACAAAGTTAAATTCTTTGAGTACAGACTGGCACACATCATTAACACAGATCTGAACTGACATATCTGCTCTAGTCATCACACTGAAAACAAGGAACATAGCGGAACAACTTCTGGCACAGAGCATTTGTGATCGGTCCTGTAGTGAGTCGAGAGTACATCTCTCCGATGTAACCCAGGATAATCCATAATCCAATGACCTTGTTCTCATACTCCTCCACATTTTCAAGCTTGTCAATTGTCTGCAACACGAAAACATGTTATCATTACTCAGACAATAAAAGAACCATTGACAACTAGATAAAAATCTGGAAAATAGAAGATGGCAATTATTCAGTCTTGGTGGCAAGGTTCACGTAGAAGACTGGATGACAACAGGTCGGTCACTTCAAGACTCAGTTTCATTCCAATACATTCATCACAATCAGCAGCAAAGTATTAAACAAGAGTCATCAGAAGATGACATATCCCCCCGGCCCCCACATATTTGAAACAAGAGTCATCAGAAGATGACATATCCCCCCGGCCCCAACATATTTGAAAGACCAAATCATCTAACAGTTACTTAAAGTCCAGCTTGATTTTACACTAAGAAGTGCAAATCGTTTCCATGGAAATGATAACAAACATACATGACAAAAATCTGCAAATAGCAAAAGGCACCACTTCAAGATCTGCCTCACATATCTGCCAAGTTTTACTGAAAGATAGTAAGAAGTTTTTGAAACGAAACCCACCCCTCCCTTTTGGGACTAAGTCTAACTCGTTTCCATGGAAACCGGGAAAAATAAAAAAGACCAAAATCTGCAAATAGCAAAAGGCACCACTTAAGGTTCTGTTTGATATATCTACCAAATTTGGTTCAAAAATATTGAACGGTTTTTGAGTTATGCTCCGGAAACGAAGCCCACCCCTCTTTAAGACTAAGTCCAAAACGTTTCCATGGAAACCAAGAAAAATAACAAGAGTCATCAGAAGATGACATATCCCCCCGGCCCCCACATATTTGAAAAAATAAATCATCTGACAGTAACTTCAAGTCCAGCTTGACTTGGTTTTATGACTTTTTTTAAAACTATGTCCGAATCGTTTCCATGGAAACTGAGAAAATAATAAATCACAAAAATCTGCACACAGCAAAAGGCACCACTTTCGGATCTGCCTCACATATATGCCAAGTTTTGCTGAAAGATATTAAGAAGTTTTGCTGAAAGATATTAAGAAGTTTTCCAGTTGTGCTCCGGAAACGAAGCCCACCCCTCCCTTCTGAGAATAAGTCCGAATCGTTTCCATGGAAACTGGGGAAAAGAAAAATGCCCAAAATCTGCAAATAGCAAAAGGCACCACTTAAGGTTCTGTTTGATATATGTACCAAGTTTTGTTGATAAATATTATACGGTTTTTGAGTTGTGCTCCGGAAATGAAAGCAATCCCTACTTTTTGAGACTAAGTCCAAAACGTTTCCATGGAAACCAAGAAAAATACAAATGCCTTAAATCTGTAAATAACAAAAGGCACCACTTTAGCTTATGTTTGATATATCTACCAAGTCTTGTTGAAAATTATTGACGAAACCAATCTCTCCTTTTTGGAGACTAAGTCCAAAACGTTTCCATGGAAACTGAGAAAAATAAAAATGACAATAATCTGTAAATAGCAAGAGGCACCACCTTAGGTTATATTTGACATATCTACCAATTTTTGTTGAAAAATATCGAACGGTCTTTGAGTTATGCTCCGGAAACAAAATGATTACGGACAGACGGACGAGGCGACGACTATATACCCCTGCATTACATGCCATGGGGATAATAATATCACTGACACTGTAAACCTTCATTGTGTTTACCTGTAGTTCTTTGGGGAAAACGCCATCAACCAAGTGACAAGTGAGCTACCATGTTCACTGTGCGGTTTCCTTACTAGTGTTTGCCCTAGGCATAAACATTTAGGAGTCATCATGACTCCCTGGTGTCATGAGAGGGAGTCATGGACATATTTTGGGGAGTCACCTTCAGTTTTGAACTTTCATCAAGACATCAACTGTGATTGTTTAATAATGACAAAAAACAAGGCAGGGCAGGTCAAGTATTTAATCAGCACTGAGCAGTTAACTGGCAAACAATCAGTTTTAGAAGTTTAGATTTTCTGAACTAAGGGCCCGGTAGCATCGCGTATTTGTGATAATTTGCGCGTTAAATACACAGGTGAGATGTGAGTGAGCTACCATGTCAACTGTGTGGTTTCCTTACATATGCAGGTGAGCTACCACGTTAACTGTGTGGTTTACTTACATATACAGGTGGGCTACCATGTCAACTGTGTTGTTTACTTACATATGCAGGTGAGCTACCATGTTAACTGTGTGGTTTCCTTACATATGCAAGTGAGCTACCACGTTAACTGTGTGGTTTCCTTACATATGCAGGTGAGCTACCATGTTAACTGTGTGGTTTTCTTTCATATGCAGGTGAACTACCACGTTAACTGTGTGGTTTCCTTACATATGCAGGTGAGCTACCATGGTAACTGTGGTTTCCTTACATATGCAAGTGGGCTACCATGTTAACTCTGTGGTTTCCTTACAAATGCAGGTGAGCTACCATGGTAACTGTGTGGTTTTCTTTCATATGCAAGTGAGCTACCACGTTAACTGTGTGGTTTCCTTACATATGCAGGTGAGCTACCATGGTAACTGTGTGGTTTTCTTTCATATGCAGGTGAGCTACCACGATAACTGTGTGGTTTCCTTACATATGCAGGTGAGCTACCATAGTAACTGTGTGGTTTCCTTACATATGCAGGTGAGCTACCATGGTAACTGTGTGGTTTTTTCTTTCATATGCAGGTGAGCTACCATGTCAACTGTGTGATTTACTTGCATAAACAGGTGAGCTACCATGTTAACTGTGTGGTTTCCTTACATATACAGGTGAGCTACAATGTCAACTGTGTGGTTTACTTACATATACAGGCGAGCTACCATGTCAACCGTGTGGGTGACTTGCATATACAGGCGAGCTACCATGATGACTGTGTTGTTTCCTTACATGTACAGGTGAGCTACCATGTCAACTGTGTGATTTACTTGCATATACAGGTGAGCTACCTTGTTAACTGTGTGGTTTCCTTACATATACAGGTGAGCTACAATGTCAACTGTGTGGTTTCCTTACATATACAGGTGAGCTACCATGTCAACTGTGTGATTTACTTACATGTACAGGCGAGCTACCATGGTAACTGTGTGGTTTCCTTACATATGCAAGTGAGCTACCATGTTAACTGTATTGTTTCCTTACACATGCAGGTGAGCTACCATGTTAAAGACTAACGCTTAGTCTCTGAATATATATGATTTTTACTGTAACAAATAAACCTATTTAAATTGAAAAGGAGCCCAAGGGAGACCAGAGATTCAGAACCTGGGGAAATATAGAATTGCTTCATTTAGGGCTTTAGCATTACAGGGAGGACTAGGCTGTAGGGAAAATAATATGATTCTGGGACTGTGAGACAGACTACCATGTCAACTGTGTGGTTTACTTGCATATACAGGTGAGCTACCATGGTAACTGTGTGGGTTTCTTACATATGCAGGGGACAGGTGAGCTACCATGTTAACTCTGTGTTTTCCTTACATATGCAGGTGAGCTACCATGGTAACTGTGTGGTTTCCTTACATATGCAGGTGAGCTACCATGTCAACTGTGTGATTTACTTACATATACAGGTGAGCTACCATGTTAACTGTGTGGTTTCCTTACATATACAGGTGAGCTACCATGTCAACCGTGTGGGTGACTTGCATATACAGGCGAGCTACCATGATGACTGTGTTGTTTCCTTTCATATGCAGGTGAGTTACCATGTTAACTGTGTGGATTTCTTGCATATGCAGGTGAGTTACAATGTTAACTGTGTGGATTTCTTGCATATGCAGGGGACAGGTGAGCTACTATGTTAACTGTGTGGATTTCTTAAATATGCAGGCAAGCCAAGATGTTAACTGTGTTATTTTCTTACATATGCAGAGGAGCTACCATGTTAACTGTAAGGTTTTCTTACACTGAAGATAGCCATTTGCTACCTTCACTAGCCGTGTTAAGTATTCACAACACCTATTGTTATGTTACTGAACTTGTTCACTATGACGGTAAGCAGTGTATTGTTTGCAAATGTAAGAATACATTTACCCAAATGATCGAAACCTTTTGATTAACCTAAAACATCCTAAACACATCCATGTGTGCACACACACACCGTGATGACGCACACTGACAATTAGGAGATAAACGTACTGTGTTTGGAAATTAGATGAATGTTAGACTGAATTGATAGATAAAATGTTAGACCGAATTGATAGTGAGGTTTCAAATTAATTTAGAGACTATCTACTTATTTTCTTGGAAGTAGACAGTTACGCAACAGTTTGAAATGGCGGACGAGCCAGCGAAAGGTTGAAATTCGAAGTGACAGTGGAAAATACTTGACTGACTGTCGAACCTGAACCCTGCAGAATTGAAGAATAGATCCTTTTCTGATCGACCTATGACCTGTAAGTCATCAAAGACTGTTAATTATTATGACCGGCGAGTGTCGATCATGATTTCACGTACGTGCATCTACCCCGGCATGCGAGGAAGAGTGACAGTGCTGCTTTGTGTACCTTTGACTAACTTGGGATTCCTTGGAACATTGATCTCATCATTTGGGACTGGATTGTGGCCAAGCTTTTCAAAGTGTACTAACATAGCTGCAGTGACAGCCTTCGGGGAAGGTGGCAGAGAACTGAATTCTCATGGTTCAGTCTTTGACATTTTGAACGATGCAACGGGACATGATGGAGTATGAGTGGCAAATTTTGTGTTTCGCCTGACCGTTATCTTGTGAATTTCCCATTCTAAACGGAAACAAATATACCATTTACCAGGTAGGTAAATGTTTACGAACGTTTTGCCGCACAAATAGGGATAGATAGGGATGTATTGTTGCAAGGTTTTCTGATTTATATGTTAGATATTGTTTGTTTATGTGTGGGGCTGTGTATTGTAATTGAGTTTGAATATTTTTATAATAGAAGGTAATAATTATGATAGTGAGGTCCCCTAATAATTGTGGAGGAGAAATCGTATAATTGTATTTTTCGAGTTTTAATAAATGTTTCATCAGCACTTCCATCACGTCTGTTGTGTTGATAATAGTCATGTTGGTGGCCAAGCTGAAGTAGTGCGGCAGTTTTGTATACGTGCGCAGTGAAATCAGACGCATTTTCAATCCAAATTGATACCGTCTGATTTTATTGCTTGACCAATCAAATTCGAGCATTTCACGTACCCATGGCAGAATACAGCATACACACATCGACAAAATATTTTACACACAGAGTAACAAACCTCTGATTAGAAAAACTGTTTTGCCACTGTGCCAGACGGAAGCTGTTTCACAATGAAACAGGACTGCACTAAAATCATTAATGGAACAAGTATATATTATTCCTTATTACATCAGACTGACAAATTCCATATTGATAAACAATAACGCATATCATGTGTAACAGGGTTTCAGCAAAAAATCTTACACTTGTGGCATATGAACACAGTTTGCACTGAGAGCCATGCAGTCAGATGCATGGGTGCACATAAATATGACATCAGTATCATGCTTATTGATATCACCAATATCATAGAGAGATACAGTTAAACAAACTGACAATTATCTGCAAAAACATTGCCATATTGTCTCTACACAGTACCATACTGTAAAGCCTCAAAAACTGCCATATTGTCTCTATACAGTACCATACTGTAAAGCCTCAAAAACATTTCCTCCCTTTATGATATCAAATTTAAATACATTTCTGCAATCATCCTGATTATTGTACATAGCAGGAAGTATGACAACACCAATACCTAATGTAACTTTGCCTAGGTACCTTGTGTCATCCTTTGCCTGGTTCCATTTAACAGGATGTTTATGGGTGGGAATTTACACAATATGAAAACTTTCTAGCAACACACACTAACAATGGAAACAGCATCAGCTGGAACTAGGGAGGATATCTTTAGTATTCCCTTATAACATTTCCGTGAATTAAGAATTAAATTGCATAGTGCATGTTAAAATAATCACAAATTATAACATAATAATAAAAAAAACACTACCTAAATGACACTTCTTAAGCTTCCTTAAAATGTGTCCAAGCATGTATAAGATCAATCCCAACCAAAAACATACAAAAATCCTAAAAACCAAGAACGATTTTTATTCTTTGTGCTCATGTGAAAAACTACAAGTCTCTGAAATTATACATAAACATTGTCCTACAAAATACATAATGGAGTAGGCTGACAAAACATCTAAAAATGTAAAACATGGACAAACAATATTGTCCCCAAATTATTAACATCAACCTTGATTTTAAACAATTAACTGTGTAATATTAAACTTGTGTTTATGCTCTTGATTTGTAATTGATCCAGTGTCCAGACATCCCCACGACTGGACATTTGTTTTCCGTTTCAAGTCCTAAATCGGTAAACATATTAACAAAGAAACGTTGTTTGAAGATAGATGTGACATAAAACACAAAAGTGCACTGTAATTCAGGAAGTAAAGCGTGTTGATGTTGGCCAAGCAAGCCACCTGTCAATGTCAGATCGTATCCTGACGTCAAAAGAAACAATAAAATGTCGATTTATTATTCATAATTCATTAATCATAACTTATTTTCTGTGCATAAATCATAATTTGCATAATGATATATATATTTCATAGAATAACACTGAAAATCTCTTTTAGACATTGCTTGTGTTTATATCCCTCGGAAGCACAGTCTTTACTTGTCATGCGCTGTAACCTACATGAGGAAGTCGCTTTGTTGATAAGAAATTAATGTCGGTTTATATTACATGTTGTGAGGGTCAATCGGGGCGTACTTTGCATTGGTCTACAATATAAATTGTTAAATATCATTATGCACACGTAATTGCACTACAAGACTGCTCATTTACTTCTATATAGCCAGTCAAAAATGTGTGCGTGCGTATCGACACGCCATTAATGGCACTCCAAAATGAAAGACAAGTTGGCTTGACTTAGACCAGGGGCTTGACAGCGCGGATCACTGACCTTGCACGCTGTTTCGCAGTAGGCAACGGTTGCAGCATATTTATCGGATATTTTCTGACAATACTGTTGAGCTGCATTCCTCAATTCTGCGAGTAAGAGGTTAAAATCCATAATTTACTGAGCTATGCATGTGCGCCATACGTAAACACACAGCTCAGCCTTAGAAGATGCCATCTAGCGACGCGGGTCAATGTCAAGGGCAGATAACTGCATTGTCTGCCATTACTGAAACCGGCTAGATTTTCTTAGGGCTCGATTAAATTGATTTGGAAAATACGAAACGACACATAAATCCAGAATTATAAGTATTGATAGCAGCCTCCCCTTCATCCGTTATATGTTTAAATATAATTTAACAGATAAAAGCAAGTGAGGCAATCGTTGACATAATGCAGGAAGAATAAGAATCCATACCGAAACGTGGCATCATATATAATAAAAGAAGTTAGTTATCCATAAACAATCTTACTTTCTTATTAGTCACCAACTTCTAAATGCCAATCAAACAGATCATAATGCAGGAAGAACATAATATTTCTTATAATGAATAGACCCAGGGATAATCTACAGTTTCTATTCTCCCTGATTGACCCGAGGAATCCAAACCGATTGTAAACATTTGGTGTGAAATCAACCATTGTTCACTCGACATAGACTCCTTCGTGTACGGAATGAAACTTGGCATCGCCAGTAAGCATCATGGCTGTACGTGCAAGCACTGGATGACTCTCAAAGCTTCCACAACCTGTCTCCATTCCCTGGCGGGAGGTGTCTGAAATCTGATACTATATGACGAACAAATTAACAATATAAATGATCACCACACAAATTAAGTGTTCACAATAATTTACATTCTACATCTGATAACCCTTTCCGTAATTTACACAATTTTATACCCTTTAATTGGGAATTCATACTACATTGGAGTTTTCATGCAAGTCTAGGCGGGACTGCGTGGCCAGTATCCTGACATGTGACGTTGTCATGTCGTTGTGTTAGTGAATCTATGATGACCTGGATGACCCTGTTCCATCTGTGCGGTCGCTTGTCTCCCACTGATTCAAACTTCATGGTTCTTGAAGCGTTCGAATTGACGTTGTGTATGTCAACAATTGATTACCTCCCTTTGAATGTTCTTTTTTGCAAAGAGACATATTGTGAAGACAGCTTAGAACTGTGTCACATGAATTAATATATACTAGATCTTAATTGCCAGTAGCTGTATCATCTAACCGTCTCTCCTCTTCGTCAAAATGTAAGCTTGTTTCCCTACTCACTGACCTCCCGGTGATTGCTGACTGACAAGGTGCACAAGATACGTCTTAACACATTCTCCATAAATGAAGGAACGTTTTTGGATATTGATAAAAGCGCATAGTTTAACTAGAACGACGAAACTAAATGACTTTCCCAATACAATGTTAAATAGATATGACAACCAGAGCTGGTGGCCTTACTGTATCATTACTGTAAACGTCGTTGGCAGGAACACTGCTTCAGTTTTTATGTATCACTGGTGACGGAGTTTGAGCAGTGAACAAACATTCCACAAACTTTTGTAAGTGCAGACATGTAACCAAAATACACATAGGTCTATTTATCATCACGCAAAAGTTCATTGAACAGGGGTATCTCGCAGTTCATTTTCCCACCACAGTAAGAGTAGAATTACTGTTTTTACTTAATATGAATTCTGTAGGACATGACGGTTTGACTGAAACGTTATTCCATAGTCAGAGACAGTTACAAATATATTCTTTTGCCTTCAGCTTGAACTTTCAGCATTTAAACATGGCGCTGGCTATCGGCCATAGCTAAACTGTACTTCCAAATTCCTCTCATTAAGTCGCTTTCTTCAACTCCAAACAGGAAACGTTCATAGGTGAAAGTCTTGCAAATATTCTCGAAGTACCAGTATTCTAGAATCTATAGCTTTAGTGAAATGGAGAATTTGAAATTCGCATCTCTGCGCATCGAATTTGTTGAACAAAATGTTTGCAGAATTGTCTTGTAAACTTGGCCACGTCTATATTCAACCGGTATTGACCTTATACAGCGCTCTAATGTCTTTGTACTGACTTGGATATACTGATTTACACAAATAAGGGTTAATCATAATTGCATTTCTTTTCCGAGTTCTTTTGCGGACCGACAGGGGCGGTGGGGTAGCCTAGTGGTTAAAGCGTGTGCTCGTCACGCCGAAGTCCGAAGACCCGGGTTCGATTCCCCACATGGGTAAAATGTGTGAAGCCCATTTCAGGTGTCCCCCGCCCTGATATTGCTGAAATATTGCTAAAAGCGGTGTAAAACTAAACTCACTCACTCAAGATGTAACAGAAATTGGGGCTGTGTCCGGCAAAGGAAATTAACGTAGGAAACACAACAAAGTTCTTTTAAAATTTGTTTGATTAACCTTTAATTTTCTTACACAGAGCTTCCACCCCAAGTGTGTAAAATAGCTTGAGGTGTAATAGAAGCGTGAGTCTCAAGGCCAAGACATGAGTGTTGGCAGGTATGCAGACACTCTCCCTAACCAGCAATCACTATGCTCAAAACGCCGATACCGGTCAATCTGGTCAAACATTATACAAACCTTACATCAAATCAGGTAAGGCTATGACCGATGTGAACATAGTTTTGATCACTCGCCATGTTGAGGAAGGAACTGTGGATGATGATGCTTTGGATTTAATCAAATCAAAATCAAATCAATCACAACGTATATAGAGCTTGTATCCAGCGAAAATCTGCTGCTCAAATTAAGGTGAGTCCTGAGCACTGATGGCTTAACCCCAACCATAACCCTTTGCTGAACAGATGAGTTTCAGGCAGGGATTTAAAGTGCCTATTTCATTTGCCAGTCGGCGTTCTGCTGGTAGGTTATTCCCCAGAAATCTCCACATCCTCATGTTTTTGTACAGAATGTGGATGTTTGAAGAGGATTCCGATTCCCTGATCGTAGTCTCCGTAAAGGTAATTAATTTCCTGAACTGAAGAAGAAACACCAGATCTTATGGTTCTTCAGCAATTAGACTATGGGAAAGAAAAATTGGGATCAGGCATTTAGAAAATGCAGCTGAAAACGAAACAAATAACATTTTAAGCTGAGAAAGAAAGAGAAATGTGAGAATGTCAAATGAAACAAATGGATTTAAAAAAATAATCTCTATGCCTCACCTCAACAGATGATACATCGTTTGGTCTTTCAAAGCTGATTAGTCTCGTGTCTCGGAACGTGATGCTGAAATGTTTTCCGAAAAGTTTCAAAAGGCGGCGAACATGAAAAAGCCTGAGAATCGGCAGACTCTAGTTGAACAGTGTATGCACTGATACAGATCAGGATGTTTATTCTGTCCTCCCTATTGACAGGAGTTCTGATTATCAGGCCATTTTAGCTGCAGTTTTGATGGTTTATGGATTAGTTCCGGAAGCTAAAAGGGAGATGTTTAGGTCTTCAAAGGAAAGGGATGGTTGTACTTTTCCTGAGTTGAGGAGGAAACTTTGTCTGACAAACAGTGTGCTTCGAAGGAGGTCAGTGGGGATTGTGATAGAGGCAGATTATTTTGCTTGAAGATTTTAAGCAGCGTGTGTTAGGAGGGTTGTAGTCAAAACGGCCAAAGGACAAAACGGCCAAAGAAAAGTCGAAAGGGTCAAAGGAAAGTGAAAAGGGCTATAGATTTAGGTAAAAAAGGCCACAGATCGAATTCAAATAAGAACATACAAACTAATATATGAGTCATTCTCAAAACTCATGCATATTTCACATAGGCAAAAATCGTACATTTTCTTTGCTTGTTTTAACTTGAAATGTTGTTGATTACATTTGTAGTATTCTGAATATACATTTTCCCTGTTAGGAGAAATTTGTATTTATCTCGATGAGCACAAAATAGGTCAGTTATACCACGCTATAACTTTGGCCGATATAATTTCAGGCAGGTATCGCAGGGTTATAACCCATGAACGAATAGTTCAACTCTCCTAGTTCTTGTTCAAACATTTCTGTAGATATTCTCTCTATTAGAGTTGTCGACTAGCGTATTGGGAATTATTTGGCAGGGGGGGAATGTTTGGATAGCAAACTTTGAGCAGCTGTATAAGTTTCTTAGTTGCTAGGGGAAACCCAGAACCCAGAACTCCAAGTTATTGCCAGTAGGGCACTCTCTTTAGATGAAGCTGACGGGTGCCAGTTTTGATGAGGAATTAGGCATGTATAGGCATGCTTGAAACGGTTTCAACACAACGTCACACTGCACATAAGGGACCTAATACTCGTATCTTGGTCCCGAGCGTGTTGGGTCTGGAATTGGCGAGATGAACGATGACAGGTGAATGTTGAACTGGGTGGCAAACAGATCCACATAAGGCAGATCGAATGGAAGATCTCTTGAACTCGGTAGAAGACAACCGATCTGGGTGTGACAGTTCATCCGTGGTGACGTTCTGCATCCCTGGAATGTGTCTGGCTCTGACCATGATGAACCTATCTGCTGGAGGCACCACAAGATCCAACAGAGTCAGTGACTTCGTTGAGTCCATCCTGTTGATGTATTAGACGACTGTTGCATTGTCTGACCAGATCATGAGATTGTCCGATTGAAGAATGAGATACTACTAAAATAGCCACCATTAATTCCATGTAGTGGATGATTGCCTCTGCAAACTGGAGGCAATCGATGATTTAGGCTTTGAGGAACCGTGTGATTGGTTTGGTCAGATGTGTAAATGGATACTGGTGTGAGTCACTGTGTGGTAGCAGGCTTTTTCCCTCCCTGGGACTTGTCAAACGTGTCTATTCTGGTGATAGCAGCTAGTGGAGGATCCTTTCGCTAATGCATGCCGTTGATTCTGTTGGTCATCTTGCAAGGAAAGGCCTCCTTTAGATCATGTTTCGACGGTGTATATTGAGCAAAGCGTCTCTGATTCCAGGGCTTGAATTTCCTGCATACAGAGTTGTTCTACAGAGACTTCAAATTAATTCTTTTGTGGACTTTGTTTGCAACAGACTGAATCCTGATGTCCTTATCTTCAACTGGAGTTTGCCTCTGCTATCCACAACATGATAGCAGGATCGACACTCCCGATGCTACCTTCCGGAGTGATGCATCCTCCCACGAGAAGGTTGAACATCCCTCTGATCATTGGTAACTGCCTCTCT